AAAAACCCGTGAAGCGTATTAATGCGAGACAGATTTAGGTTTTAATGTGTAAAATTAATGCCATAATTATAGACTTTGGAAATTGGAGGAAAGGTGTTGAATTATGAAAAATTCTTGAAATAATACCACGTAACTAGATTATTGCATGAGAAGAAAACATTTATATCAGTGTATAGGAAGTAAAGATTACTCATAAAATGGGATTTGATTAAAGTATATGTTCTGCTTATGATACGTCAATGATGCTTCTCCGTAAAAAAGCATAAATCAATAACAATACAAACTTTGTTAGACTCATGATCTGTCTTTGAATAAACAGAAAAAGAATAAATTTACTAACCATTTTTCATTTCCACATTTTCTCTTAATAACTGGCCGTTTCATGCACAAAACAATTCTGGACCATTTACCAATGCACTTATTTATTCAGTCTGTCTTCTCTGAATTACACACAAGAACCATAGCATCTAACGAAGATGAGTTCTTCAATTGATCTTGAAAGCGACAGAAGAGACCATTTTGAATTGTCATTATCGGGCAGCAAACAATTTAACAGAAGCAGTAAAACTATTTGTGCAATATGCTTGGACAAATACCAGAAAAACCCAAAATATTTACAATGCTTGCATGCGTTCTGTGAACAACCATGCCTACAGCGTCTGCTTGACAGGTAGGTGCATTAAAGTAGCAAATATTTACTTAAAGACATATGGTTATACCACACTGAAGATAACAAATAACATTTTATATCAGATATGTAACAGATAATAATATTCAGTTGCTTAAAAGATGCAATGCTGTAAAACAGCTCCATCTTAAGGAGAGACATGAATGAAATATTGGATGAAACATTTAAAAAGAAGATAATAAAAGATGTGCCCGTATATCCATTTCATGAATAAATTGGTGTAATTATAGATTACTCTGAAAACTCTCAGATTGAGTAAAACGTTATTTATTAAGATTTCAATAGATAAATAAATTTTTGGTATATTATATTCCTCAACATATCAAGAAAGTGAATGGCGAACCTTTTTTATTCTAAAAAGGACTTTTTACAAAATATTTAATTACTTAAAATATATTCTAAATAAAGATATACCCCTTACGTATTTCAAAGTCCGACAGTGCTTGAAATGTAGTATAAACAGCTTTACCTCTTGTCATTGGGCTACAATTATCTGTTTTTCATATACATTTTTTTACATATTGCAGGATACACTTGTTTCTCAAAATTATATCCACTAACAGGTATTCATTTATAAATCCCTGAAGTGGAATAAAACGATGTGAAACTGAAACCTGTCCATCCCGAATTGCATGTCCAACCATTGACTGCTGTCTCCGAGCTTTAAATGATAATGAAATATAATGCCAATTCTGCTAAATCACGCCCGTTTAACTCACAACGAGTGAAAAATGTCCATCGGTAAAAATGTTGTGAGCAACTTCCGTTCCTCGTTGTGAGCACCCATCTTTGACGTGTGACACGATAAACAAGGTGAGTTTTTCATAATTTTTGAAGATTACAGACATTTATGTAAAATATCGAAATGCAGTTAGCTAGCGATGTGTTTTCCGAGTATGCACATGTAAAGATATTGCCTGTTGGTGGACAATTTGATGGAAATACCGTGCGACGCAGTCACTCGGGGTAGCAGGAAAACTGGAGACAACTTCTCTTTGGACCTAATTTAACATTGAAAACGTCGATTCTGGTGACGTTTTGTGCATTCTAACATAAAACAGATGCCCACAAGTCTTCAGCGTAAATTATTATCTGAAAGTCTTCATAGAAACGAAGATATACCCTTTTTTGCTTTAATCCTCGTTGTGAGCACCATAACCTCGTTGTGAGCAAGACAAGCGCAGTGCTTGTCTGGTTTTAATATGTAATTCAAATGGCAAGAATAAAATTTTCAATCTACCAAAAGCAATCAAAACGTTTTTGTACAATAGTTTTTCTTTGCAATAGTTCTTCTTTTTCTTTTTTGAAAATTATTCTTCATATTCACAAGTCATCAGATTAACAAAAGAATTAATCAGTGGATTTAATCTGCTATTTTATTTCATATACTCTAGTGTGGCACGAGTGAACATCACGGGGAGTTTATGAATATTTCAATAATTTCACAATCTGTGTGATACACACATACATGTGTTTATCCTGAGCTGAAGACTGACCAAGTTTTGTTAAACAAGAACTATCACGGTAAGTTGACAATGCCCCCGAAGTGGTGCTTTGTCCTTTGATTTATGGACCAGATAGATTATTTGTTTTTGGACAATTAGATCTTCAATGTGATGGTCATTCAAGGTCAACGTGAAATAAATATAGTTCAGTTTGAAGGTGTCTTGTCCAAAGGTGCATTGTGTCCAAATATAAATTAATTCCACTTACTTAAAAGAAGTTATAACCAATGTTAAAGTTTTTGGATGTTCTAGAAGGTCATTCAGGGTACAAGGTAAAACAAATACAGATCAGTTTGAAGGTCTTGCCTAAAGGGGTGTTGTTTCAAAATGTGAGTAGAATCCGTATGCTAATAAGGAAGTTATGATCAATTTTTAAGTTTTTGGACAATTTGACCTTCAAGTAAAAGGTCATTCAGGGGTCAAGGTCAAAAGAATATAGGATAGCTGAGAGGCCTTGTCAAAAGATGTGTTGTGCCTAAACATTATGCCAGGACATTATGGCCAATCTTAAATGTTTTTGGACAATTTGACCTTCAAGGTAAAGGCCATTCAGGGGCCAAGGTAATAAAATACAGGTCCGTAGGAAGGTCTTGTCCTAAGGGATGTTGTGTTTAAATATGAATCAAATCCGTTTACTTATAAGGAAGTTATGGCCAATGTTAAATTTTTCAGACAGGTTGACGGACTGACAGACGGACAGTTTAAAACTAATATGCCTCCCTTTGGGGTATGCACAACGTCTTGCAAAGAAATGCTGTTGTGCAAAAACGTTTTAATTGCTGTGGTAGATTGAAAATTATATTTTCACCATCTAAATTACAAATTAAAACCATACATGCACTGCGCTTGTCTTGCTCACAACGAGGTTTTGGTGCTCACAACGAGGATTAAAGCAAAAAAGGGTATATCTTTGTTTCTATGAAGACTTTCAGATAATAAATTACGCTGAAGACTTGTGGGCATCTGTTTTAGGTTAGAATGCACAAAACGTCACCAGAATCGACGTTTTCAATGTTAAATTAGGTCCAAAGAGAAGTTGTCTCCAGTTTTCCTGCTACCCCGAGTGACTGCGTCGCACGGTATTTCCATCAAATTGTCCACCAACAGGCAATATCTTTACATGTGCATACTCGGAAAACACATCGCTAGCTAACTGCATTTCGATATTTTTACATAAATGTCTGTAGTCTTCAAAATTATGAAAAACTCACCTTGTTTATCGTGTCACACGTCAAAGATGGGTGCTCACAACGAGGAACGGAAGTTGCTCACAACATTTTTACCGATGGACATTTTTCACTCGTTGTGAGTTAAACGGGCGTGTAAATGTATAAAAAATTTAATTTTCGACAACCTGGATTACATAAGTAACTTAAGTAAGAGGTGTATGCCTATCAAAAATATTTCAGATCGGAGAACAACATCTTCAAGTGTCCCTTATGTCGACGAAGTTATAATGTGCTGACCTTTGAATGTGTAGCTTCCGAGTCTGATCCTCTGCTTGGCGAAAGAACAGAGCAAAGTACAGAGTGTAAGTAATTAGTTTCCTTTTTCACCATTGAATGTAACGAATATAGTTATACTTTTCATTACGTGTTTCAACAATGATATGCGTATATTGGTTTTAGTGATACATTTTTTTGATTCACCAGTCAAGTTAAAAACTTTATAAAGAAGAACATTCACCATTTCTATAAGAACTGGGACGAATTAATTTACACTACATTTACAGGGAACGCTATTGAAATGTTATAATATACTGAATAAGTATATAACAATTGATACAAGTCGTCTGATTTAATAATTCACTTTAAATGAATTGTTTTCTTTTCCAGCGAATACATGTGAACGATTTTACACTTTAAGCGTTTTAGGTAAAGTATATTTATAGTTCGTAAGACAAAATTGCATCTATTTGATATGTATGTGAAATACTGCTGATTTTTATACATATTCTTAACATTATGCAGAAGAATACAATTATATCTATTCACACGTTTTCATATGTTATTATACCTTTATAACCTAACCCAACACTGCAGTACCTACGCTCCCTTCGCAGCTCACTGAATACACTCACGTTACTTAAGAAGTGAGCGATAGTGGAACATTCGACCGATGCGCAGGAGAGTATGCAGTACCCTGCCCTACTGCCCTAGGCTACTTACCTACTTCCTACGGTACCAACACATAGCTGTGGATCTAATCTATTTTTTTTATTTCAGTTGCTGTGTTTCATTTTTGCATCATTAGCGTTGCTAGGAATAGTATTAGGTAAATATACCAGAATTTTGATAAGCTTTCACAAACATTACATTATTCAATATTTATACGACAAATAAATTCCCCTTGCTGCGATTGGTCGAGACACAATCTCATTTATAACGAACATTGAAATGACATAAAGGTCGACTCGAAGTGATGTTCATCTAAATAGAGGGTATTGAATAAGTGAAGGATCAATAGAAAATTTATTTAACGAGTTGAATAGAATTATATTATCCCTACTGGCGAGCTTAATATTATTTTATTTAACAAGTTTAATAAATTTCAGTAATGAATCTACACGGCTATAATATTTTAATGTATCACATACCCAAAAAGTGAAAAAGAAACATATTGCATTGAGACGCCTACAGTAAGCGCTCATTACGATATGTTTGTTAAACTCAAATCATGTGTAAATATATATTACCATTTTTACGGAGTCGCAAAAGCGGCAGGGGTATGTGACAAACAACTTTAAGTCATTAAGCGTGACAGAAAATTTTACCGTCCCTTCATATGATGACTTTACGATAAATAGGAACTAGGCAACTCTTCCTATTGTGATCAATTATTGTGGTGAAAGCTCGAAACTTCTTTGAAACCTTTAGAACTACCCAGCACTAGTGTCATATGAGGCACGTAGGTATTGGCACTATAAGGAATCGAACCAACGATAAATATGTTGAAAAGCAGATATATTAACCACTTGGTCACAGTTTCCTTACGAATTGACAGTGTAATTCAAAATCAACGGTAGTTCATGTAATTTTGTTGTTTAAATGCAAACGAAGCAGAAATTAATGCTCGGTGTATATAATGAAACACGATTACATTTGTATCATTTTCTGTTATATGCAGGGTCTTATTTTCATGAATGTAAAGAGCTATTGTATGCTTATCAAATTGCGAAAGGGTTGATAGACATTTTCATTGCACTGTCATACTGCAAAAATCAAACAGGAGTATGCACTTCAATTCTGTTGGTCGTTTCAATCATTGGGCTTATATTAGGTAAGACATTATTTGATATTTGTAGTGTTAGGAATGTGTTACTGTCACCTCATAAAAATAAAAATAACCCTTCGTAATAATCTTTGTTTGAAATTTCTATGTTATTTTGACTTTTGTGTTTGGGAAGTGTACATACTATAAGTAAGTATACATTTATCATAAAAGTTTTGTTTTTGAATAACATAGAATTACTGAATGTTCCGAAGTATACATATTTCCAACAATAAGCAGAATACATCCATTTATATGACAAATAATTATGTTTCTTGTACAGGTACTATGGAAGCCTGGGAGACAACAGAAGACGACAGTCAATGTCAATTTCTAATAGTATTTTCCCGCTATTACGTTGTTGCCGACGGCATTATGATCTTATTCATCTTCAGTTGTGCAGGATGTCGATCGGAAGACCTTTACGATTAATCACAATAATCTTGGACTTAATACAGGTGTTAACCAAACAATACTGTATGATGAATATGTATATTTGAAATTTTTCAAAGGAAAATAAAGTCTAGTTCGTTAAAATCATTATTCAAAAATATGTGTGACCATTATTCAATTATAACCTAATAAATGTCAATAGATATCGGTTTAATAAGTAAAATGTATATAAACACGAGTATATAAATTGCTTATATCTATGAATATACATAATTTAGGTCGACTTTGACATGATAAATCGGAATAAACGTAGTCAATCAACTTACTTTTTGTTATCGTGTTTTGTTTGTTACTGTAGGTTAGACAGAATTACCGTATCCGTTCTTTGCACGAGCGTTGTCCTACAATTGTGTTCAATGTCCCTAGGAAAGTTTTGAAAAGTCGCGATTGGTAGGATTAATGGCATACGAATCGATGGAAAACAATAATTACTCATATACAAAAATCGTATTTGAGCAAAACTTTCCCAGAGAAGCACATGATTTAATTTAATACATTCAAGATATAAAACATGTCAACATAGCCTTTCAATTTGTGTTTTACTCTTCATGATTTTAATTTTAAGTATTATAATAACAATGGTATGAATCCCCTTATGTTTTGTATTCATTTTCATTAACTAAGACTTATTTTACATAATTGTTTTTCAAAATATTATACTGACTATTTAAAGTGCCACTATTTTAATTTATAGTAATAAATGAAAGAAACAATTCATGAAGTCTTATACCAATTATATTCCGGTTGCGGTACTTTGCCAAGTAACCAGATCGCAAAATCATTTTTTTCGCAAACAAGTGTTTACAAAAAAATCACACTCTGTGAAAACAGACGAATAAGTTCAACGTTTTTAGATAGAATTTTACAAATTTAACTTACATCGCAACGGGTCAGTCTTCATTGTCTTTAAGGACTAGGCTAGAGCCCGGAGAGTTTTTTCCTGGGTTTTGTGTGGAAACCCTGTTCAAAATGTGCATCAGGATAGTGTTGAGCCTCGGTAGCATATTGCCATAACGTTTGGAGATATCTTACAATGAACTTTTATGTGCCCTACACCACTGCATTGACGATTTGAAAAATACACGTTTTCGAGTATAAATAGACATTTTTTCCAATTATTGACGTTAACCAACGTAAAAATGAGTAAAATAATATCTACTCATATTGAATGAAACGCACCAACAAGTAAAACATTGACATTTATATGCAGGGATATATTATCGTGGATATACAACACCACTGCCTGTTTATCAAATTGCAATTGGAAGCCTAGACATTCTAATTGCAATGTCTTACAGCATCAGAAAGTATACGAAAGTTTATATTGTATTATTATTGCTGGCTATTTCGACATTGTGGCTTATATATGGTAAGATATTATTAGATATTGTTATTGTAAGACTTGTTTCACTGTCATCTCTGTTATTAAAACTTTTCAGATCAAGCTTTGTTCGAAAATTATCAACTTATTTTGGCTTAATATTTCTATGGGAATTTTACATACTATGTATGCTTTAAACATCTTTTTAATGAAAATTTTGTGACATAAAAGTACTGAATGTCTAAGAAATTTACATATCATATACATTTAACAAAATATATTCACCATTACAACTGAAAATAACTTTGTTTTACAGGCACGAAGGAGGCATGGCAGAAAAACGACGACAGTCAATATCATTTTCTAACAGTATTTTTTCGCTATTATGTTGTTGCTGACGGCATAATGATCGTCATGATTTTCTGGCTTTTGGGATGTATGAGTGAACGAACAAGAAATATTCTTACCGAAAATGTAAACATGTCACATGCGTCAATGGATTATTCTTGATCATATAAATTATAAATGTTCAATATTCAGAAATCCTATTAGAGCATGTAGATCAAACCTTTCTCAGAGACAGCCGTGAGATTTAAAAAAAAAACAATGAAAATATTTAATTTTGACTAAGATGTTTAATCTACTGAACATTTTTATTCATTATAATAATAAAAATAGCATTTATTCAAAAGAGCCATTAAAATCGTTTAATCTAATTATAATTGAAATAAATAATTTATGATATAAAACATTATACAGAAGAGAATAAATGTTCCAGCCTAATCGATTTCGAAAAGGCTTTTGATTCTTTGCCTTGGGTTTGTGTAAATAAATCGTTGTCACTTTGTAAATTTGGATAAGATAAGACTAAAGTAGTTTAGCGTTTTTTCTAAGATTAAAGATCGGATTTCAGCAAAATTTAGCAGATACAAAGTTTATTTTTTATATTTTATATGTCTAGGTACAAGGCTAAGCCTTGTAAGGTTAAAAATGTTATGAAGTAAAAAACAAAAAAAAAACACAACCCCCCCAAAAAAAACCAATAAAAAAAACAATGCAGGACTTTATATGCGCTTATAACTACATTAAAATGCTTTGGACAGGCGAATCACTATGAGCAATAGAAACTGTGCAGGTATTGTTTCTAAATTGATAGATTTAGATAAACTTCTAAATTGTGTTCTCATTACCCAGACACCATAACGAATTCCTGCACAAACTTATTTTTGAAAGATAATTTTAATGGTTTTGTTCAATTATGTTAAAAGAATGTGCTCTATTCTGATACATTGTCAAACTATCCATTGTTTTATAACTCAAATATTGTGCTTGGTAAAAACATTTAAAAAGTTATGGGTTTATGCTGGTGTTCAATGTATAGCGCATACGTGTAAGATGAATTTGGTTTTATATGATATCCAAGTATTCATAAACTGCGTTTATTTAACATGGTAGGTAACTGATTCTGACTTTATAAATGTGTTTGTACTATGTGAATAAGTGATATAAATTAAATTTCAGGAATTTAATGTTTCACGTTAAACCCACTGAATAGGCATTACAAAACTTTATAGACAATTAAAGTACATATTACATGTTCTTTCTTTATTTTCATTCTAAGAAATTGACAGATCCCTACTCCGACTGGTCATATAACAAAAGATTTAACCATTTACATTGACATGAGCTCTTTTTGTCAGCAAATACGTTGTTGTGAAATGTTAATTGTGATATGATAATTAGAATAAGACAAGCTTAGGATCTATGCACAGCATAGAATAGTGTATGTAATCTATCCGTTTATGTGAAGAGAGTCTGTAAAATTTCATACAACTAGGTTTTTGATTCTGTCATTGCATTGACACTGATTTGGATTAGATAGAATTATTTTGTTACGAACATGACCAAAACAGTATATGCGTTATCAAAACAGTTATAAAATAACCGGAAACCCGATAAGATAAACTTGTTATTCTTTTGTATATCACTCTCGCTTAATGCCATGTATGCTGTATATTCACATGTATATGTGATGTACAGGAAGTGTTTTGGTTAAAATTTTAAATCATAAAAAGCCCATATTTTGTAATGATATCGCAATTGATAAAGATCATGATAAACAAATACCATTTAAACTTCCTGTTTAATATGACACGCAACATTTCTTTCGGTATTATTTCTTTTTCTTCCACTGCCTTAGGATGACCGTTTGGGTGCTGGTGATTGTAGGGAATTTTTGCGTTTGTGAATGTTGCTCCCACTTCGTTGATCTTTATGCTTTAATTTAAATTTTGATTATCATTATGTTAACCCCCTCTTTTTTTTTGCAATTTCTTAAAGTGAATATGGTCTGCTTTTATGATAATAATAAATCAATGTGAAAAATGTTTTCCCTAACATCTATTTTTTTGTTTAACCTAACAGCATTTTTTGTGTATCGATTAGAGCAAAAAATACATGGGTCACAGCTTCCAGAAAGAAGGGGACAACTAAGATATGATAATGTTAATTGTTGATTCTGTTGTAAGTTCTCATTCGTTGATATTTGACTTCTTTCAATAATCAATAAAGTAATTTCTATTTTACTAACCACAGTATACTCATGTGTTATATGTAAATCTAAAGTTTGTTTGAGAATAAGTGTGACAAAATTAATTCCTGTATCACTTTAATATACAACGTTTTTTTAGAAACAACCATACCCTTTTTAGTTTAATTAATTTATCAAAATTGAAAGTGTTAATATGTTTGTGATCTGCCTAGATAAGATATGAAAAAAGGTACGTTGATAAATGACAAAAATGTTTTAATCAAAAAATATCGATATTATAGATAATAACATTGTTGATCATGCATTAATTAAAGATGTGTGATGGATAGTGTTAGCATATGGTATGTAGCTTTTTAATTATTCATAATTATACTAACAGTATAAGTATTTTGTCGATTGTAAACAGTTCCCAAATATCATCCCTGATACCTCGGGACAACAGTTTGACTGTTCCACAAAAGACCCATGAAATAATTGTTTTTTATATCTCTGATGCTTTGCAATCAAACTATTATATATGTTGCAACAACACACCAATAACATTTTTTACAGCCGTTGTAATTGTGAACCGCTTACAACTAAATGCCACCAACGTTTGGTTTTTCTAAAAACACTACCGCACATTAAGCTGAGGCGACGTTCAACTAACCGAATAGTTGCGGACGGCTTTAACGGAAATACCCGGTGACAGCAATGAAACCATTTAAAAATGTTGACCGGTCAACAGTTCATTTCATCACTGTGCATGCATAGAATTTCAGTGGTTCATTTGAAGCAAACAGTTGTAAATAATGAATGAGTATAAACAGAAGGCGTTAGGTAATAATAGATATGAGTGGTGTTCCTTGATATTATTACTAAACACTTTAGTGAATATATGAAATATTATTAATGGAATATAAACATAACACAGTCGTGTGTTTGCTGTAGACTAGACATTGAATTACTTGTACAGAAAGCAAAATTTATTGTATGTAAATATCATGAACAAGAACGAAAATGATCTAAAATTTTCAACTAATTGTTACATATTTGAACTAGCACTTAATCAACTCTTTACCTTGAACTTGTCTTTTTACGATTATTTTATTATGTAGAACAAATTTATAAACATGTCATAGCATCCTTTTCAAAACATCATCACATTTATGTTGTTATGAACGTTATTTAATTTGATCATATGACCAATCTGACTAAAGTTCAGATCTTCTAATTTCTTTTATGTATATCGTATGACGACCGTAAATTTTTCGCCTTCTTTATAATTCGGTTTCTCGAGAAAGCTATTTTAGCCATGCAATCAAACCGGTTTTTACATAAGAATTAGAACAGGTATCAAAATTCAGTTTTTCGTTGAAGTTAAACAAATTGTTGTTTTTATTAGAAAAAAATATTTGAAGTTATTTTTATCAACTCAACTTGAAATAAAAGAGTCATTTCTAGTGAGCAAGATTGTTTCTGCCAGATTAACCTGTCGGCTATATGAACAACGCCATGTTTGTTTTCAAAATCGTGAAAATTACGTACTCAGTATTGGTTTTACAGGTTTAAAATTAGATACCCCAAAGGCTTTCCAAAAAACATGAAAGCTCGCCCAGATTGGCGTGTGAAAAAACTCGCCATTTAAAGAAATTTTGTATTTGGGCCCCGGGCAGATCTAAAAAACGGAAGGGGTTTTAAAAAAAAATTTTTTTTAGAAAAATCTATCACACAATACTAAAAACCCTTTTTACACTTTCCCTTTTTTATAATGGCGCCCCAAATTTTATTTTGAAGAAATTTTACCCGCAATAAGTGCTATTAAATCAGCCTCAAAAACTCATATGTTGCATTTTTGTCTGTTCTTATTTGACAAATATACCCGTTCTACAACCCGTGAAGCGAATTATTTTACACTACCATTTACAGGGAACGCTATTGAAATATTATAATATACTGAATAAGTATAAAAATATCAATTGATACAAGGATCAACAAATTTCGACATTGTGGCTTATATATGGTAAGATATTATTAGATCTTGTTATTGTAAGACTTGTTTCACTGTCATCTCTGTTATTAAAACTTTTCAGATCAAGCTTTGTTCGAAAATTATCAATTATTTTGGCTTAATATTTCTATGGGAATTTTACATACTATGTATGCTTTAAACATCTTTTTAATGAAAATTTTGTGACATAAAAGTACTGAATGTCTAAGAAATTTAGAGATCATATACATTTTACAAAATATATTCACCATTACAACTGAAAATAACTTTGTTTTACAGGCACGAAGGAGGCATGGCAGAAAAACGACGACAGTCAATATCATTTTCTAACAGTATTTTTTCGCTATTATGTTGTTGCTGACGGCATAATGATCGTCATGATTTTCTGTTTTTTGGGATGTATGAGTGAACGAACAAGGAATATTCTTACCGAAAATGTAAACATGTCATATACGTCAATGGAGTATTCTTGATCATATAAATTATAAATGTTCAATTATCAGAAATCCTATTAGAGCATGTAGAGCAAACCTTTCTCAGAGACAGCCGTGAGATAAAAAAGTAATACAAATATTAAATTTTGACTAAGATGCCATATATTTTATAATACTAGACATTTATCTATTTATTAAAATAATGAAAATATCATTCATTCAAAAGAGCCATCAAATCGTTTAATCTGATTATAATTTAAATAAATAATTTATTATATAAAACAAAATACTGAAGAAATTAAACATTCTGGCATTTTGCTGCTAACCGATTTCGAAAAGGCTTTAATTTTTTGCCTTGCGTTTGTGTAAATAAATCGTGTGACATTGTAAGTTTGGATAAGATAAGACAAAAGATAGTTTAGCATTTTCCTAAGACTAAAGATCGGATTTCAGCAAAATTTAGCTGATACAAAGTTAATTTTTTATATTTTATATGTAAAGGTAAAGGATAAGCCATGTAAGGTTGGATAAGGTTAAAAATATTATGAGGTAAAAAAAACAACAAAAAATCAATCAAAATACGATGCAGGACTTTATATGGGATATTTAAATGCGCTTATAACGGCATTAAAATGCTTTGGACAGGCGAATGACAATGAGCAATGGAAAATGTCCAGGTATTGTCTCTAAATTGATAGATTTAGATAAACTGCTAAATTGTGTTCTCATTACCTAGACACCATAACGAATTCCTGCACAAACTTATTTTTGAAAGATAATTTTAATGGTTTTGTTCAATTATGTTAAAAGAATGTGCTCTATTTTGATACATTGATAGACTATCCATTGTTTTATAACCCAAATATTGTGCTTGGTAAAAAAAATATAAAAAGTTATGGGTTTATGCTGGCGTTTAGTGTATAGCTCATACGTGTGAGATGAATTTGATAATTTTGATTTTATATGATATCCAAGTATTCATAAGCTGCGTTTATTTAACATGGTAGGTAACTGATTCTGACTTTATAAATGTGATTTTACTATGTGAATAAGTGATATAAAATAAATTTCAGGAATTTACTGTTTCACGTTAAACCCACTGAATAGGCATTTCAAAACTTTATAGACAATGAAAGTACATATTACATGTTCTTTCTTTATTTTCATTCTAAGAAATTGACAGATCCCTACTCCGACTGGTCATATAACAAAAGATTTAACCATTTACATTGACATGAGCTCTTTTTGTCAGCAAATACGTTGTTGTGAAATGTTAATTGTGATATGATAATTAGAATAAGACAAGCTCAGGATCTATGCACAGCATAGCATAGTGTATGTAATCTATCCGTTTATGTGAAAAGAGCTTGTAAAATTTCCTAAAACTAGGTTTATCATTCTGTCATTGCTATGACACTTATTTGGATTAGATATAATTATTTTGTTATCACCGATACTAGTGTGCGAACATGACCAAAATAGATTATTTATAAAAAAAGTATATGCGTTATCAAAACAGTTATAATATAACCGAGAACCCGATAAGATAAACTTGTTATTCTTTTGTATATCACTCTTGCTTAATGCCATGTATGCTGTATATTCACATGTATATGTGATGTAAAGGAAGTGTTTTGTTAAAATTTTAAATCATAAAAATGCCCCTATTTTGTAATGATATCGCAATTGATAAAGATCATGATAAACAAATACCATTTAAACTTCCTGTTTTAATATGACACGCAACATTTCTTTCGGTATTATTTCTTTTTCTTCCACTGCCCTTAGGATGACCGTTTGGGTGCTGGTGATTGTAGGAATTTGCGTTTTGTGAATGTTGCTCCACTTCGTTGATCTTTATGCTTTAATTTAAATTTTGATTATCATTATGTTAACCCCTCTTTTTTTGCAATTTCTTAAAGTGAATATGGTCTGCTTTTATGATAATAAATCAATGTGAAAAATGTTTTCCCTAACATCTATTTTTTTGTTTAACCTAACAGCATTTTTTGTGTATCGATTAGAGCAAAAAATACATGGGCCACAGCTTCCAGAAAGAAAGGGACAACTAAGATATGACAATGCTAATTGTTGATTCTGTTGTATGTTCTCATTCGTTGATATTTGACTTCTTTTAATAACCAATAAAGTTTTTTTTCTATTTTACTGACCACATTATACTCATGTATTATATGTAAATCTAAAGTTTGTTTGAGAATAAGTGTGACATTATAAATTCCTGTATCACTTTAATATACAACGTTTTTTTAGAAACAACCATACCCTTTTTAGTTTAATTAATTTATCAAAATTGAAAGTGTTAATATGTTTGTGATCTGCCTAGATAAGATATGAAAAAAGGTACGTTGATAAATGACAAAAATGTTTTATCAAAAATATCGATATTATAGATAATAACATTGTTGATCATGCATTAATTAAAGATGTGTGATGGATAGTGTTAGCATATGGTATGTAGCTTTTAATTATTCATAATTATACTAACAGTATAAGTATTTGTCGATTGTAACAGTTCCAAATATCATCCCTGATACCTCGGGACAACAGTTTGACTGTTCCACAAAGACCCATGAAATAATTGTTTTTATACTCTGATGCTTTGCAATCAAACTATTTTATATGTTGCAACAACACACCAATAACATTTTTACAACCGTTGTGTAATTGTGAACCGCTTACAACTAAATGCCACCAACGTTTGGTTTTCTAAAACCACTATAAAGCTGAGCGACGTTCAACTACCGAATAGTGACCGACGGCGTTAACGGAAATACCCGGTGACAGCAATGAAACATTTTTTAAAAATGTTGACCGGTCAACAGTTCATTTCATCATGTGGTAATTCATTTATTGTTTACATATACAGTCAAACTGAATATACAATATATCTTCTAAGTTCTCTATTGAAGTCAACTTTAATCAAGGCACTGAAATGACATAATAATAACAATGTTTGCACATATAATATATACAATCAATAAACATAGCATTTAATAAACATCTTATTACTATAGACATTAAGATCACTAAATGATTAAAGCATTTGTACTCTTATGTCTTACCAGTTAAACATTACACGTATAATGTTTACATTATTACAAAAGGTATAAATACCAACATACTCTTATACTTACAGATCTAAGGGATCTTAAGCCTATTCCACAATAAACCAATGACAAATTAGAATCTATATCACTTCACTTCACATCACATACATCCTGTCTCACGTGATGGTTAACTGTGAACAAGATTAAAACATATAATACATGCTGGTTATAAAAATATAGAATTGAAAGAGAAAGTCAATGACTGCCATTTTGGAACATTCAACGCGCTGTAAAATACAACATATCAAATAAACCGAATAATAAATAATCATTTCAGCCATCACAAAACTACCTTAAATACTTCTCACAAACACTTGGATAGCTCAACCAAATGTAAATCATATAAACAAGTTCAAATTAACAGAATGTTCTCTACATCAACCCTGTAAACCCTTTTCAAAACCTGCACAACATTCCCGCCAAACTCTCGCGAGATCACACAGAAAACAAGAAAATAAAAGACCAGCAAGAACTTATCAAAACCTAAAGAAATAAAACACCAGAAAGAGCTGACACGTTTCATAATACTGTCATACAAAAATATGACCCTGCTACACACTCCTGCTCCTTGGAAAATGACGTCTCGTCATTTAACATTAAACATCTTCATCAAGATATAACATATTGAATGTTTAAGTAACATAATGACATAATCATTAATGAACATTCATAAAATACAGTCTGCTTTTAGGCACATAAGCTGTTACTGAAAATAATTATGAATATACATAAACTTTACATTATATGTCAACTGCTACTTCTGCTCTCCCCTGAAAAAAAATTTGTGTCTCTACAATTTAAAATAAAATAAAATGTATTAAACATACAAAGGTAAAATAGTCTTATGTTTACAAGCGTTTACACATAATTCCAGATGAATTGTTTTCATTAGACTTAAATTCCACATGAATTCTCGGGAATTTTCTCCACTATGAATAATCAATAGTTAAATTCCACATCAATTCTTCAGTATTTTCTCCAGTATGAATTGTCAACACTATTTCCTAGGAATATTCATTAGTTTCTTATTGTATCAGTATGAATTGTCAGATTCTTACTGCATTCTCATATTTTCACCAGTATGAATTTTCATATGTTGACTTTACATTCTACTTCTATTGCAATTCAAACACCTTCCAGTATGAATTATCATCACATGTTGTTGAAACACCTTCCAGTATAAATTATCATCACATGCTGTTTATAAATGTTTATTCACTTTATTCTTACTGGCACATTTCTAAAGAACCCCGGTAATACACAATTCTCAGTCAATGATAAACAATAGTTTGGAATTCTGAACAAATTGATAAAATTTCAAATCACTATTTCATGATGGCATCTATGAGTTTAGATGAAATATCCGCATTCACTTTTTCTAAAATTCCTGAAGATACAAGATTGTCTAAAGCTTGTAATCTATCCACAGATCTATGTGACATTTGATTTATTTGATAGTCACTGTACCATGAAGGATTTTTTCTGTCTCTTCCAGATCTTCTGGGTAAAACAATTGTTTTTTTCTTCTTCTTATTGTCTATAGTCGGATCGAGTTCCTCTTCTTTTTGGGTTGTGTCATTGTTTGTTTGTGTTGTTGTTTCAGGTGTGTCGTCATTTTGAATAACTGATCCTTCTTCCTCTTCTGTATGTTTTCCTAATTCTTAATCAAATTTTGTATGACTGTCTGTAGGACTGTCCGTAAAATCGATGATTTCTTCTATGTCTTCTTCTTCTGTGTGTATTTCTAATTCTTCATCTGATTTAGTATGACTGTCTGTGGGACTGTCTGTTAAATCGATAGTATCTTGTATGTCATCACTGTGGGTACCCAATTCTATTGTCTGTTTTGATGTTTCTTTATCTTTGATTTCTTCAGTCAATTTATCAAACAATTCTGTGTTAGCTGGAGTCTGAGCGTCCTCAGAAATGCTTGTAGTTATTACAAACTCATCTCCAGAATCTTCACTATCTGCTACTGTATATGTGACGTCACTTAATGTCTTCTCTTTTGAAATCTTTTCTTCTTTTTCTTCCATTCTGTCTTTTTTAATTAAGTTTCTACGCTTAGGTATAGGTCTTCTTGTCTTTATCATAGCATCACTTTCCTCTTGGTCTGTTTTATTGTGGATAAAACCCAATGGGAAAAGATGATTGCTATGTAGAGTTTTAGTATCTCCAGTATGTGATTTGACGACAAACACCGGTATTTCTTTATTAGGTTGATCAATGACTTCATATGTATCTTTTTCGAATTTGTCCGAAATCTTATGTTTTCCATCGAGTGCCAAGATCTTGACTAATACTGTATCTCCTATATCTATTCTGACTGCTTTTGCTTTTTTATCGTAATTTGATTTTTGTTTTATTTTGGCTTTTTCAATGTTCTTATTCACTATTTCTTGGGTAACTCTCATTCTTTCCTTTAGTTTCTCAACATATTCTACTTGTGATGATGAATTTTCATTATTCTGTGTTCCAAAGAGCGAATCAACTGGCAGAACAGGTTTTCGACCGAACATTAACTCAAAAGGCGAATACTTTGTGACTTCGTGTTTTGTTGAATTATAAGCATGAACTAGCGTTGGTAAATATTTCTTCCAATCAGATTTCTTTTCAGGCTCTAATGTTCCGAGCATATCAAGTAATGTTCTGTTGTACCGCTCAGCACTCCCATTACCCATGGCGTGATAGGGTGTTGTCCTTGATTTGTCGATATTAAACAATTTGCAAAGTTCTTTGATAGTTTCAGATTCAAAGTTTCGACCTTGGTCAGAATGTAATCGTGTTGGAATGCCATAGTGAACAATAAAATTTTCATATAGAGCTTCAGCGGTAGATTTAGCAGTTTGATTCTTTGTAGGAATAGCTAAGGCATATTTACTAAAATGATCTGTTATCACTAAAACGTTGCTTATCCCGCCTTTACAAGGATCGACTGTAAGGAAGTCCATACAGACTAGTTCTAATGGGTATGTAGTTATCACATTCACTAAAGGTGCTCGTATATTTGTTGATGTCTTTCTTCTTAAGCATCGATCACAAGTAGTAATGTATTGCTCAATATCAGCTGTCATTCCCGGCCAAAAAAATCGTTCACGAACAAGAGACATTGTACGATCTCTGCCAGGATGGCCAACGTCGTTGTGTAATCCCTTAAGAACTGTTTCCTTGTAAACATTTGGTAATACAAGTTGCTGTATTTTATTTTCTCCATCTGTGATTTCCCTGTATAAAATGCCACGAATCATCTTAAAGTTATGGAAGTTCCTTTTCATAGTTTGGTATTCTTTTGTGTAATGTTTGTTACATGGATATCTGTTATCTATAGTTGCTCTAACCCATTTACCTATTACGCTATCTTCTCGTTGATTTCTTCTGATTTCCCTACTTTCAATTTGAGCAAAAGGTTGACCTTGTGTATAAGTAACGTCTACAATATTTATTGAAGCTGCTGGAAGAATTTCAATGAAAGCTGGCATCTGATTTGATGAACAAATTGTTTCACTGTACTGTCTGCTATCTTGATTAAATTTGAGTCAGATTCTGTAATTTGGTCGTACGGATATCGGGACATCCCATCAGCATCTGCGTTACGTAGTCCTGCTCTGTATATGATGTCAAAATTATACTGTCCAAGAGCTGATGCCCAACGTTGGCCTGTAGCATCTAATTTGGCTGAAGTTAACACATGTGTTAAAGGATTGTTATCAGTGAAGACAGTGAATTTGTTGGTGACCAAATAGTCCGAGAATTTTTCTGTGACTGACCATTTTAACGCAAGAAATTCAAGTTTGAATGCCGAGTAATTTTTTTCCGAACGAGTTAGACTGCGACTAGCATAGGCGATGACTCTTTTTTGATTGTTCTGTGTTTGGTATAATATAGTACCAATACCTTTCGTCGAGGCATCTGTATGAAGTTCGAATGGTTCACTAAAATCAGGATATGCTAAAATAGGTGGAGATGTCAAAAATAACTTTCAACTCTTCAAATATCTTTTGTTGTTCACTTCCCCATTTCCATTCAAGTTTTTGTTTCTGTTTTGTTTTCTTCTCTGATGTAGGAGGTAAAAGTTCTGTAAGAGGCTTCGTTATTTTGGAAAAGTTCTTTGATAAATCTGCGATAGTAAGAAGCAAATGCGATGAATGAACGAAGTTGGTCAGAGTTTTCTGGTGTTGGCCATGTGCGTACTTTTTCAATCTTATCCGGATCTGTTTCAATACCATCTTTGCTTACTACATGTCCTAAAAATTTAACCCTTTCTGCCATAAAGTAACACTTGTCTGCCGAAAGTTTGAGATTGCATTCTTGAAGCCTTGTCAGTACCTGATTAAGTCGTTCTAAATGTTGTTCAAAGGAATCGCTGAAAATTATCAAGTCGTCAAGATATATGATGCAGATCTTCATGTTAAGTTCACCAAGACATTCTTCCATTAACCGTTGGTATGTTGCAGGAGAGTTCGAGAGTCCGGAAGGCATTTTTACATATTCAAAAAATCCAAGAGATCCTACGGTAAAAGCAGTTCTTTCTTTATGTGAGTCTTCCATTTCGACTTGATGGTAGCCGCTTTTCATGTCTATAGTTGAAAATATTTTTGAACCTTTGAGAATGTCAAACACTTCTTCTATTCTAGGAATTGCATAAGCATCTTTGACTGTTCTTTGATTTAGCATTCTATAGTCAACACACATCCTTAACTTGCCGTTCTTTTTCCTAACTAAAACCACATTGCTAGCCCAGGGAGATTTTGATTTTCTTATCACACCACTGCTTAGAAGTTGTTCCAAATGCCGTCTCACTTCATCAATCATAGAAGGAGGAATTCGTCTGTGTCTCTGTTTAAAAGGTACAGGATGTATAAGGTCTATTCTGTGCTTGATTTTGTTGCAGTAGCCAATATCAGTTTCACTAGTAGAGAAGATGTTCTTGTGTTTTTATAAAAGTAGTCTTATCTGTTTGTCTTGTTCATGAGTCAAAGTTTCTATATGTTTCAAATATGTTGTAGGTGGTAGTATTCTCTTCATTGTTGTAGTGTTATACAGGTTGAAGTTCAGCTTCGGTGAACTGGTAATGTTGTGAGACAAGTTGGTTAACAGACGATTCTCGTTCATCTGTAAACAAATGAGTAACCGAGTAATATCAATGAAGTTTGGAAGTGAGACTGCTCTGTTTCTTGAAGTATCGGCCAAGTTGATTATAATTAAGTTCTTTGTATGTGTAACCTTTAATGCTTTTTTGACTGGTTAGGATATATGGTAACTTTTGGAAGTTTCAGCATTTCTCACTATAGCTATTCTATCCTTGTTCCTTTTCAGTTCCTTTTCTCTGATTGTAATATAACGGAATGATAGATACCAAGGTGTATATAATCCAGCTGTTTGTAAATAATTTTCTCCTAAATTCTGTTTACAATCTTTCATCAATTCATTTAAGATGTTATTGTACCATAGAAGTAAGCGTGTCGTTGTTGTTGTAAGCATGTGTTTGGCCATATAAGAGAAATAGGCAAATTGTTCTTTACAATGGATTCCCATTTGATGATACATGTTGTTTCATATAACCAAGGTATGGTAATTGTAGTTACCATCCCTGAACAATGTCTATGTTTGAAAATTCATAAACTAGGTGAGAGAGGTTTGTATTAAGTTGGCGTTCATAAACAGGATAGCTGATAGTATTATACAATCTGTGATCTATCAGTGCCTGTTGTAGGAATTTTGTTTGATAAAATGTATGCTTCAATCTTGACTGTCACAACTTTAAATTAGGACCTTGTTTTCCATAATGCCGCTGTTGGTCCTATGCAGACATTTTTAGTTTAAAGGTCTGACAATAATGGCTATTTATGTCCCTGGTTTTTACTTGGTAGCAAGTAATATGGAAGTCATGACTCGACATATATCTGTTACTTGTCTAAACTGTTATGTACCATAAGGGACGAATATGATGTTAAATAATTCTCCTCTAACGCACACCTCTGTTAAACTGACCTCAATAACAAATTTCTCTTCATATGTCGACTTCCTCAATCCATCTACCTTGCTATGTGTTAAATTTCGATTCATTACTCCTTTTCCATGTTTTAATTATTGACTTCTATCAATTCTTACTTTGATAAAAGTTCCCTTTGACCGTCGACCTAATTCTGTCACTTTTCAGGTTTCACTTCACAGCATGACACTTTTCCACGTTGTTCTATTATTCTGTATCAGAATCCATTCCACTTTCAAAATTTTTCTTACTTCCACTTTAATTTATCATAGTCACGAGACTGTTTCAAATGTAAATGCAACTTTGTTTTCAAGTGGCTGTTTTTTAAGTCCCAGAATAAAAAATACAACTTTTCAAGTTCCTTCATTTTTGGGAATGCGAGCATGCATACAATTTCCCCTGCATTGTGAATATTTCTCTAATTGGCGTAATTTTAGAGACGACTGATTCCATTTTGTCTCTTGTTACTGGCATAAAATTTCTGTCAATTATTGATTCCTTGGCTCTATATCTCCACTAGTGCTTTCCAAAATTTACGCATTAAAATCATCAATAGTACACCTGGGTTCCACACTTTTCTCATGAATAGTTGCCGCTTCTCCTTTTTAACACTTTCGTAATACAAGTAAACTTGTTCTGGTATGTATATGTTTTCCATCTTAATCAGGACAACATATCTCATATTTCCATGTAGAAATAGTGTTACTTCTCCTTTTCCCTGTTCTCCGCTTAAACAAGGATCATCCTTCGGAAATTTAACTGCTAATTATCAGTTAGTTTCCTCTTTAAAGAGGGTTTTTCCAGTATCCCATGTTTTAGTAAAATCGGGGTTACTCCTTCCATTATGTAATGTTTCATAATAGAAACAAAGATCATCCATTGTTTCAACTTCATTTGGAGGTTCTTTCAAACTTGTGCATTTAATTCTAAATGCTTCAAGTTCTCTTGATTGTTAATTTTTGCCAGGATCCACTGTAGTGCTGTATTCTCTCCTTACGTCACTTTGTCTCAAAGACAGATTTCAACTGAGCACAATTAAACGGCACTGGTCGATATCACAATTCAAAATCACAACACAATACTGGTAATCTCAAAAATATCTTCCTTCTTTAAATATTCAAACTATGTATTTCACTTTATCACTTCAATCGCTCAATTCTTCACTATATATATTCAATTACTTTCATTTCTATTTCAACACTTCAATATCTGGTCTCGACTATCTTCAAAACAACTATAAATTTCTTCTATTATATATTCACTTTTGTCAATTTATACAATCAACTTCTAAGTTTCACTTCTGTTATCTCTATCACTTCACAATATTCAATTCAAATAAATCAAGTTAAATTCAATCTAACTCGAATTTCACTTTCCTAAATTCAATTATATTCTACCTTCACAGTCTAATTTCCATTCAATTTCATTTTCACCTTCTTATTTCAATTCAATTTTCACCTTCCAATTTCAATTCAATTCTATTTTCACCTTATTTCATTTAAATTCTACTTTCACTTTCACATTTCAATTCAATTCTACATTCACCTTTCAATCGCGGCAGAACGATTCGCGTTTCAACTTTCAAAACCAAATTTATAGTGTATGCATCCACTATTTATTTATTTAGAGCTCTAATATTAATTCCGAAATTAATTTAAAAATTAATTCCAGAAAATGTTATTATTTTAAATGATGATTGAGATAAATATTTATCTCAACACCCTTATAAATATATATTTTGTTTAACTTTAGAGATCAGTTCCAAAATTAATTATCAATTATTTTAGAAAATTAATTATTTTAATGATGAATGAAATAATTTTCTATTTCACACACCCTTATAATTATTTCCTGAACTATTTCAGAGATGTAACACAGATTTCTTTCAATAATATTCAATTTTATAACATTTTATTTATAATCAGTATTCAAAGGCAGATTACTCCGTAATACCTGAAAACAATAATATGTGATTCACTATAAAGTTTAATTCAATGAAAAGACAACTCCGACCTGACTGAAAACAATAACATATGACTTACTATGAAGTTTAATTCAATGAAAAGACAACTCTGGGCTGACCAAAATCAGGAAGTTCAAAAATCAGAACACACAAGTCCAAAAATAAAACAGAAAAAGATTCCAAGATCAAATGAACAACTTCAAGTCACTAGTGAGTCTATACAGCTTGGAACTCAGCACTGTTTATGAAATATTATATGATGGCTGAAATATAACCTTAGCAAAAAAATTCTTGTTTACTTATAAAATAATTTACTTTATTACTTAAATTTAATGTTCCAATATAGCAGTCACTATAGAGTAGTTAAACAGAAGATAATAAGAGAAAGAAATTACTAGTTTGTGCAGCTTACTGGTTAGTTCCCTTCACCTATCAGTGTACCAAGTGAAATTCTTTCATTCAGCATACAATATCACACCCTGTAGATAACAAAATAACAATTTATTAAATATATATCCAAACATATTTTCCTGCAAAATATTAAAAATTATATATGAATATTTATTACAGAATTAAATTTTCAGTGCCAAAGATTATATTAAATCCAAAGATTATATTAAATACTTTTTTAAAAATATATACTTGAAATAATAAATACTTTTGCAAAAATTCAATAACTAAACACTACTTAAATAGAAAGTTCATCCAAAAAGAGTTTTTACAATGTTCACTGTTCACTGCGGTATACCGTACCCCGGATATTGCTCGATATTATGAGGACTTTCATCCCATTTCGCGACTTTGAACGAGGAAAGAAGGTATGTTTAGTGACGATATTTAGTCATTTTGAATTGGTTTGATATAAATTTTGTAGAAAAACAAATACTACGATAATTTCTCTAGTTACTGAAACCCCAAAAATGTTGAGAAATAGCTTTGAAATGTAATTAGGAGGTAAAATTCGTCTCTTTGCTCACGTGATAAATGAGCTCGGATCAATCAAATTTGATGTTTTTGTGCATATACTTCTTTAAAAGAAAAACTTGAATCGAGTGAAATGTGATAATGATGATAATGTTTATGTTGTAAATGTTCAATCAACAATAGAACCTCAGATGACAGTGCATTTTGAGAATAAATACACATGTCAGTGTACCGATTATTGCGTTGGAGTTGCCCGTCGGTGTCACGAGATATTGCTTTTAGTGTAACGAGTATTGGTTATCAATGAAGAGTAAATGCAAGTAGTAAACACAAAAACACATGTAATTTTATTAATTAAAGAAATACTATTTTTGATCAAAAAAAAAACAAACGAAACAAAAAATACAAAAATCCAGAGAAACGAAATTAATTTTTATTAAATGTATGTATTTTGTTTAATTTGCAGAAGCAAGCGAAGCAAGAAATAACTTACAGATTATAAATACAGTATTTTTCTTACTGTGTGATACTTATTTACAACTATATGTGCACAGAATAATGCAGAATTCGAGGGTATACTTACTGGAAATCTGCGAATATCCATATTTTTCATATGTGTGCTCGTGAAAATCTCAGACGAACAACTCAGCAATTTTCTGTTGTTTAAAATGTTCTCGTTGCTATACGAAAGCGGTCAACTTTCACAGAATTTGTTGAATAATTAATTGCAATATTTCACTTTAATTAAATAGTTAAAAAATGCATACCAAACGTGCATAAAATCTGCCTCAAGATGTCAATATTAGAGATATTGAGCAGGTGCCAATATCTATGAGTCAACGGACTTCCTCTATGCCAAAAATCCATATAAAGGTAACTTTCGGCATTTTGTACCTGCACTCTAGCAACGGCAGACCGTCTGCACGTGAAATTTTGTTACGCCATTAGCAATGAGTTACCGTATGACTGCCGAGCGGGTACAGCTCAAAAAACGAATAATAGATTTTGATAAGATTATGATAAAGGGCAGCAGATGCAATAAAAAGGTTATGTTCCTTATAACCTTTACCTCATGAAGGCTTTACACCCACCACCCTTTTGAGGCCTCAAATAGTGTAAAACATGCGCTATTTAGACCCCAAACACGGTTTTTTTCGTTTGACAAATGTTGTTCAAAAGAGTGATCACTTTTTCGGCGCCACCCCATTAAAAAGGTACATCAAGGGGGTTACGTAGGCGGGGGGGGATGTGCCCCCTTATGTTTGGGGGTTTGAAGTGGGGCAGTAGCCCCTCTAATCGCCGAGAAGACTTGGGACTTGTGGGGGCTAAATGGCCTCAGGTCGATTTAAAGGTACCTGTAAATAAACGCCGAAAACCTAAGACTTTATATCAATCAATTGAGAAGTTGGTGCACCTTGAAATCAGTTTTGATGGGAAAAAACAACGCAAAATAGAGGTTTTTGGCAATTTTGAGACGCCCCCCCACCCCGTTGCCATGATAATTGGAAATTTAAAATTGAGCATGCTATTCCACAGGCTATGGTCCAGCTAACATTTGTGCCCAGTTTGATTTTGATCAGTATTGAAGCATTTTTTATAGTTTCATAGCAGTTTGAACTTGTAACAAGAGGCTTGAAAACAGCCATTTTTTCGCATTATGCTCATGCAGTAACAGGTTAAGACGATACCGACATGCTTGGACGGCATTAGCCCTGGGGCCAATATTTTATTAATTTCGTCGATATGTTTCTTAAGGCAAAACTTGCCCTGTAAAACCTGTTATTAATGTCATCTAAATATGTTTTTTTTTTATTCTTGTCCATTTCAGAGATGGGTCTCCTTGATCAAAGTGTCTTGAGACATGTATTTAAAGTTTTTTATCGTCAATTTTGATGGTTCTACCCTGCTTCCGACCCCGCGCACACTTTATTTCAATCCATAGTGTGATTGTCAACCAAATTGGAAATTAAATCTCTGTATTTGCCCGTAGGAAAGAACTGTAAATAACACTGAAAATGCACTGTTGAATCTGAAATATTTGAATAAATATCATATAAACAAGTACATTATCAGAAAAATGAAATAAAATCGATAAACAGACGTAAAAATTAGACAAAAATATCGAGTTTCCATACTAATGTGCTCATTCTGTTTTTGCAATACTCTGTACACTAAAGTTGGGCTATTTTGCAATACTCTGTACACTTAAAATCAATACTCGTACACTGTCTTGTATCTTTTTTTGGCCTGTATCTTTTTGTACTTTCACACTTTTTGCCTGAAATTTGGACAAGGCATACTTGGATTGTGAATAAAAAAATTGCTCGATTCAATTTTTTTTATATTGTAATATAATAATTTCTAACGATTCTACAGTATCGCGGTCAGTATTTTCTAGTGAGCAGCGGATCGTTTAGGGGTAGTTTAATCAATTTTACAAATAGCTGTAATATTTTTACGTCTTTTAGAGCTACAAAAATACCTCTAGATATATAAAACTCGTTTAGACAAATGAAATAGCCATTAGTTTGGAAAATATCGTCGCTGAACTTACCTTCGTTCCCCGTTCAAAGTCGCGAAATGGGATGAAAGTCCTCATAATATCGAGCAATATCCGGGGTGCGGTATACCGCAGTGCTGTTGGTTCGAGTAGTTAATAGTTACTATAACACTTGACTATCTTCTCCCCAGCTCTAGTTATCGTGTCCTCACGATAATGGTGATAAAGTCATGTATCAATGTTGTATGATTTCTTAATCACTATGATGGAAATATTATTTATCAAATTATTAAAATTAAAACAAATGGTTGTGTAATAGTATGACAACTACACAATACTGGTCAGTAGTGAAATAATAATGAATTCCAAGGTAGATCACCGATGAAGGTAAGAAAGTAGAACACAAATTGCACGCAGATAAGATGGTAGATCTGAATTGTAAGCACTGACGAAGGTAGGAAATTAGAACACAATCTGCACGTTGATGGTCAATCTTAATTTATCAAGCAAAAGAAGTGAAGATTCTTCTTTTGTTTTAATATAAAATGTAAACAGTTATATTCTTGACACAATTATATCTCGTAGATTTTACCACATCCTTGAGTTCGATCTGGTTTTCTTCTTCAAAGATCACTTGGGGGCTCCATTGTAACACATGGTGTTATAACACAGGGTAGATGTGGTAATTCATTTATTGTTTACATATACAGTCAAACTGAATATACAATATATCTTCAAAGTTCTTTATTGAAGTCAACTTTAATCAAGGCACTGAAATGACATAATAATAACAATGTTTGCACATATAATATATACAATCAATAAACATAGCATTTAATAAACATCTTATTACTATAGACATTAAGATTACTAAATGATTAAAGCCTTTGTACTCTTATGTCTTACCAGTTAAACATTACATGTATAATGTTTACATTATTACAAAAGGTATAAATACCAACATACTCTTATACTTACAGATCTAAGGGATCTTAAGCCTATTCCACAATAAACCAATGACAAATTAGAATCTATAGCACTTCACTTCACATCACATACATCCTGTCTCACGTGATGGTTAACTGTGAACAAGATTAAAACATATAATACATGCTGGTTATAAAAATATAGAATTGAAAGAGAAAGTCAATGACTGCCATTTTGGAACATTCAACGCGCTGTAAAATACAACATTGCAAATAAACCGAATAATAAATAATCATTTCAGCCATCACAAAACTACCTTAAATACTTCTCACAAACACTTGGATAGCTCAACCAAATGTAAATCATATAAACAAGTTCAAATTAACAGAATGTTCTCTACATCAACCATGCAAACCCTTTTCAAAACCTGCACAACATTCCCGCCAAACTCTCGCGAGATCACACAGAAAACAAGAAAATAAAAGACCAGCAAGAACTTATCAAAACCTAAAGAAATAAAACACCAGAAAGAGCTGACACGTTTCATAATACTGTCATACAAAAATATGACCCTGCTACATTTGCATGCACAGGAATACAGTGCTTCAGTTGAAGTAAACAGTTGTAAATAATGAATAAGTATCAACAGAAGCCATTAGGTAAAACTAGATATTAGTGATTGCCATTGATTTGTCCCTTAATATTATAACTTAACATTTTAGTGAATATTTAGTGAATATATGAAATGTTATTAATGGAATAAACATATAACACAGCTTGACATTTTACGATTGCACGTATTTTATTATGGAGAACAAATTTTTAAACATGCCATAGCATGCTTTTCAAAAGGCATCACATTTATAGGGTTATGAACTTAATTTCACCAATCTGACTAAAGTTCAGATCTTCTAATTTCTTTTATACATGTATAAATCTGATGACGACCTTATAAAATACCCCCCTTTATAATTCGGATATCTCGAAAAAGCTACATTTAGCCATGCAATCAAAACTGGTTTTACATAGGAATTAGAACAGGTATCAAAATTCAGTTTTTCGTTGAAGTTCAACAAATTGTTATTTTTGAAAAAAAATGTTTGAAGTTATTTGTATCAAATCAACTTGAAATAAAAGAGTCATTTTTAGTGGGCAAGATTGTTTTTGCCAGATTAACCTGTCGGCTATATGAACAACGCCCTGTTTTTTTCCTCAAAATCGTGAAAATTACGTGCTCAGTATTGGTTTTCACAGGTTTCAAAATTATGAAAGCTCGCCGAGTATTGGCTGTGTGAAAGCTCACCATAAATGATTTCGTATTTGGTCACGGTCAGATCTAAAAGCGGGGCGTTATTTAGAGCTGGTTTTTATTAGAAAGATCATATAACACAATATCTCATCAACTTCTTACACTTGCAGTTTTTTCATAATGTGCGCTCACATTGATTTTGAAGCAATTTTACCCGCTATTAATTCAGCTACAAAAACTTATGTGTGCATTTTTTCTGTTCTTTTTTTTGGACAAATATATTCGTTTTACAACCCATGAAGCGTTGTAATGCAAGAACAATCTAGGTTTTAATGTGTAAAATTAATGCCATAATTATAGACTTTGGAAATTGGAATAAAGGTGTTGAATCCTGTAAACAAAGACGGTCACTCTGTTTTCTTGAAATGATACCATGTAACCAGATTATTTTATAAGAAAAAAATATTTCAATCGGCGTATAGAAAGCTAATGTTACTCACAAAAATATATGTTTTGCTAAATTAAATGAGCTTTGAATTTGCTTCTCCGTTTGACATAACAATAAATGAAAACAACACAAACTTTGTTAGACTCATGATCAGTCTCTGAATTAACAAAGGATAGAATTGCTTACAAAATCTCGTTTAAACATTTTTCTCTTAATAACTTGCCATTTCATGTACACAAATGTTTTGAACCATTTATAAATGCACTAATTTATTCAGTCTTATTTTTTGATAACACTGAAGAACCGTAGCTTATAACGAACATGAGTTCTTCAATTGACCTTGGAAGCTACAGAAGAGGAGACCATTTCGAATTGTCATTAACGGGCAGCAAACAAATAAACAGAAGCAGTAAAAATCTGTGTGCAATATGCTTGGACAAATACAGAAACCCAAAATATTTACAATGCTTACATGCGTTCTGTGAACAACCATGTCTCCAGAGTCTGCTTGACAGGTAGGTCCATTAAAGTAGCAAATAACCTTATATAAGACATATGAGCCGTGTCATGACAAAACCAAAATAATGGGTTGCGCAGTCTGATCAGGATCCATGCTGTTCGCTTACAAATTCTATTACAAGTAGAGAAACTGATAGCGAACAGCATGGATCCTGATCAGACTGCGTGGATGCGCAGGCTGGTCTGGATCCACGCTGGTCGCAAACCAATTATGTTGGTTTTGTCGTGGCGCGGCTCATATGGTTATACCCCTCTTAAGATAACAAATTACATTTAATATCAGATATGTAAGCAGTTGCTTAAAAGATGCAATGCTTTAATACAACTCCAGGAGAGACATGAATGAAATATTGGATGAAACATTTAGAAAGAAGATAATTAAATATGTGCCTGTACATCATTTTCATCAATAAATTGGTGGAATGATAGGTTATTCTGAAAATTCCCAAATTAAGTAACATGTTATTTCATTAAGATTTCAATAGATAAATAAATCTTTGGTATATTATATTCCTCAACATATCAAGAAAGGGAACGACGAACCTTTTATTATTCTAATATGGACTTTTTACAAAGTATTTGATGACTTAAAATATATTATACATAAAGATATACTCCTTGCGTACTTTAAAAGTCCGATACTAGTTGAAATGTAGAATAAACAGCTTTACCTCTGGTTACTGGGCTACACGTATCTATGTTTCAACAACATGTGGCGTATTGCACTCAATGTAAGCGGCATACACTTGTTACGCAAAATTATACCCACTAGCAGGTATTTATTTATACACCCATTAATTGGAATGAAGCGGTGTGAAACCTGAACCTGTCCATCCCGAAAAGCATGTCCAACCGTTGACTGCTGTCTCCGAGATTTTAATGATTGTGGAATATAACGCAAATTCTTCTAAATGTATAAAGTTTTTGATTTTGAATTATTAAATTTCGACAAGCCGGATGACAAAAGTAATTTAATTAAGAAGTGCATGCCTATCAAAAACATTTCAGATCGGAGAACAACATTTTCAAGTGTCCCTTATGTCGACAAAGTTATAATGTGCTGACCTTTGAATGTGTATCTTCTGAGTCTACAGCAAATGAAGATGTTCCTCTACTTGTCGAAAGAACAGAGCAAAGAACAGAGCAAAGAACAGAGCAAAGCACAGCAGAGTGTAGGAAATTAATTTTTCATTATTTCACCATTGAATGTAACGAATATAGTGCGACGCAAGCACGGTGCTTGTTCGTATTTTCATTAGATTCTACTTCTTACTTGGTTTTTTGAATTTATAATATTTCTAGGGGGTTTAGTTTATTTAAATTTCAATGATGTACTCGCGTCGGGCGTCACTAGACGGCCTATCAAAATGGGCGGGGAAAATCTCTTTAAATGATAGCGGGCCCATTCTAATCAAGGCTGATATTTTATGTTTTTCTCTGTTTTGTTCTATGATCTCGAGTGTTTATTGATGTTGAAATTCAGACGAAGACACAAAGTCTTGTCTTTCTATGGTTGATGAAAGTGGCTGAAGAGTCGTAGTTTATCAGTTAAAATATTTAATTTAAGTAACAATTATATCAAGAATTAAAAGGTGCAACAATTATCAATAATATTTAAAGTTTGACTACTACGCGGACTGTCAGACCTCGAAAAAAAACCAAAGTTAAAAAGATGAATATTTTGGAATAAATGTCCCAAAAAGCTGGACATAAAAAATTTACGTAAAAATCTAAACTATTTAAATGTAATATAATTTGATTAACTTTACCTCAAATTCTTAAATTTAATCATTTAAGATAATTTTCTAAGAGAAATGAGACAATGCTGCTCAGAAGAAAATCTAGAAGACTGACTTTGGGCGTTCCGAGCCGATAGCGCGCATGTGCAGTCACCGTGTCCGAGCCGGTCCGAGCCGGTGCTCATGCGCAGTACATGTAAAGGAGCCAGAGATGAGCCGATATACATGTACAATGCATGTTAGGGAGCCGGGACAGAGCTGATGCACATGCGCAGTGTAAATAAAATAGCCGGTAATACGATCCGCATAATAATACAAATCTGACTATTAAACTATGACCGAGATTAAATAAATGCATGCGCAAACAATGCAAAGACAAAAATGAAAGTTAAATGTTGTCAACAGACATGAAATGAGCAAATACATCCATTCCACGCGATGTCAGTCATAAGCAGCGGTGTATAATGAATACTTACTATAGATAATATTGATTCCCATGTTGGACATTTCCTGTATACAAAAATAGATCGAAAATAATTCCATAAAAATGACCGTAGTTTATTATTATATGGTTTAAATTAATTAAATATGGTGTAAGAGGTAAAATGTTAGACGTTATTAAATCAATGTACGAAAGTGTAAGATCCAGAATAAAATATCAAAATGTTTTGAGTGAAGAATTTTCATGTGTGTTAGGCGCCCCACAAGGAGAGTCTTTATCACCTTTTTTTGTTTGCCATGTATCTTAATGACATAGAAGAATATTTTATTTTGAATAAGTTTGAAGGAGTTAATTTAGGCTTCTTAAAATTGTTTTTACTTTTATATGCAGATGATATCGTTATTCTATCTGAAACAGAAGAAGGCTTACATAAAGGTTTATTGTTACTGGAGAATTATTGTGATAAATAGAGATTAACTGTAAATATCAGAAAAACTAAAATAATGATTTTCAGAAAAGGCAGACTTAGACATAACATTTCATTCGTATATAAAGGAGAAAATTTAGAAATTGCCGAAAAATTTACTTGTTTAGGAGTAGTCTTTACAACTTTTTCAGAAATAAATAACTCAACTAGAGCTCGTACATATGTAATATTTGCAGATTTTAAATTTCAAAAGTACTTAAACTGTATTAATATTGAAAAATTTAGAATTCCTCTGTCCCGGCTAAGAGTTTCTTCACATAGATTCGAGATTGAAACCGGCAGGTGGAATAAACCTAGTGCTATACCTTTTGATGATAGGAAATGTAAAAATTGTTTTATAATGGAAGATGAATTTCACTTTATTTTAGAATGTTCTCTATATAATGAATTACGAAAATATATATAAAAAAACACTTTTGGGAAAGACCAAATATACCTAAAGTTGTTACATTGATGAATTCAGAAAATAGAAATAGAAATTAGAAACTTATCAATGCATATATTTAAAGCTTTCGATGTTCGAAACACTATTCTTTACAGTTAATCAAAAGTTTGTCCCAAACGCTGTATCACTGTTTCTTACATACACTTATTTTCGTTTTGTTTTGTGATTTACCAGTATATGAATTGAGACATGTTGATAGTATATTCTATTTATAGTTAACGTTTTCTGATTGCTAAAAATACTGTGTAACTTAATGATATATGTTTTATTAAGTTGTGACATTGACCATTTGATTGTATTGTATGCTTTGTTATATGTACCGTGTATGCATGGGCATATTGCCCAAATGTACTGTGAAATAAACTCTTGAAACTCTTGTATCAGCGTCGGATTAACTAATTCACTTTAAATGCATTGTTTTCTTTTCCAGCGAATACATGTGAACGATTTTACACTTTAAGCGTTTTAGGTAAAGTATATTTATAGTTCGTAAGACAAAATTGCATCTATTTGATATGTATGTGAAATACTGCTGATTTTTATACATATTCTTAACATTATGCAGAAGAATACAATTATATCTATTCACACGTTTTCATATGTTTTTTTTTTTGTAAATGTTATTATACCTTTATAACCTAACCCAACACTGCAGTACCCTGCCCTGCCCTAGGCTACTTACCTACTTCCTACTGTACCAACCATATATAGCTGTGGATCTAATCTATTTTTTATTTTTATTTCAGTTGTAGTGTTTCACTTTTGCATCATTAGCGTTGCTAGAATAGTATTAGGTAAATATACCAGAATTTTGATAAGCTTCCACAAACTTTACATTATTCAATATTTATACGACAAATAAATTCCCCTTGCTACGATTGGTCGAGACGCAATCTCATTTATAACGAACATAGACAATGACATAAAGGTCGACTCGAAGTGATGTTCATCTAAATAGAGGGTATTGAATGAGTGCAGGTTCAATACACAATTTATTGAACGAGTTGAATAAATTATATTATCCCTACTGGCGAGCTTGATATTATCTTATTTAACAAGTTTAATAAATTTCAGTAATGAATCTACACGACTATAATAATTATTTTCTGTATCACATACCCAAATAGTGAAAAAGAATCATTTTGCATTGACGCGTCTACAGTGTAACGCTAAATTAAGCGCTTCTTTACGCTATGATTGTTTAACTCGATGACGTTATGTGTAAATATATATTACCATTTTTAGGGAGTCGCAAAAGCGACAGGTGTTTGTGACAAACAGTTTTAAGTCATTAAGCGTGACTGAAATGTTTACCGTCCCTTCATATGATGGCTTTTCGATAAATAGGAACTAGGCGACTCTAGCTATTGTGATCAATTATTGTGGTGTAAGATCGAAATGTCTTTGAAACCTTTAGAACTACCCAGCACTAGTGTCATATGAGGCACGTGGATATGGAACTATAAGGAATCAAACCTACGATCAATATGTTGAAAACCACTTGGTCACAGTATCCTTACGAATTGATAATGTAATTCAAAATCAACGGCAGTTCATGTAATTTTGTTGTTTAAATGCCAACGAAGCAGAAATTAATGCTCGGTGTATGTAATAAAACACGATTACATTTGTATCACTTTCTGTTATATGCAGGGTTATATTCTCATGAATGTAAAGAGCTATTGTATGCTTATCAAATTGCGAAAGGGTTGATAGACATTTTCATTGCACTGTCATACTGCAAAAATCAAACAGGAGTATGCACTACAATTCTGTTGGGCGTTTCAATCATTGGGCTTATATTAGGTAAGACATTATTTGATATTTGTAGTGTTAGGAATGTGTTACTGTCACCTCTTAAAAATAAAAATAACCCTTCGTTATAATCTTTGTTTGAACATTCTATGTTATTTTGACTTTTGTGTTTGGGAAGTGTACATACTATAAGTAAGTACGAGTATACTTTAAACTTATTTATCATGAAAGTACATACTATAAGTAAGAATACTTTAAACACATTTATCATGAAAGAACATACTATAAGTAAGTATACTTTAAACACATTTATCATGAAAGTTTTGTTTTTGAATAACATAGAATTACTGAATGTTCCTGAAATATACACATTTCCAACAATAAGCAGAATACGTCCATTTATATGACAAATGAGCCGTGCCACGACAAAACCAACATAATGCGTTTGCGACCAGCATGGATCCAGACCAGCCTGCGCATCCGCGCAGTCTGATCAGGATCCATGCTGTTCGCTTACAAACTATATAACAAGTAGAGAAATTGATAGCGAACAGCATAGATCCTGATCAGACTGCGCGGATGCGCAGGCTAGTCTGGATCTATGCTGGTCGCAAACCCATTATTTTGGTTTTGTCATGACGCGGTTCAAATAATTATGTTTCTTGTACAGGTACTATGGTAGCCTGGGAGACGACAGAAGACGACAGTGAATGTCATTTTCTAATAGTATTTTCCCGCTATTACGTTGTTGCCGACGGCATTTTGATCTTATTCATCCTCATTTGCGGAAGACGATTAATCACAAAAATCTTGGATTTAATACGATGTTAACAAAACAATACTGTATGATGAATATGTATATTTTCAATTTTTCAAAAGAAGATAAAGTCTTGTTCGTTCAAATCATTAGTCATAATATGTGTGACAATCTATTAGTTATAACATAATAAATGTCAAAAGATATCGGTTTCTATAAACAAAATAATAATTAACGTGTATATATATATATAAATTGCTTATATCTATGAATCTACATAATTAAGGTCGACATTGACATGACAAATTGGAATAAACGTAGTCAATCCGCTTACTTTTTGTTATAGTGTTTAGTTTGTTAGTGTAGGTTAGACAGAAATACCGTATCCGTTCTTTGTACGAGCGTAGTCCTACAATTGTGTTCAATGTCCTTAGGGAAGTTTTGAAAAATCGCGATTGGTGGGATTAATGGCATACGAATCGATGGAAAACAATAATTACTCATATATAATAATCGTATTTGAGCAAACCTTTCCCAGAGAGCCAATGATTTAAATTAATACATTCAAGATATAAAACATGTCAACATAGCCTTAACTTCGCGTTTAACATTATTTATGATTTTAATTTTTAGTATTATTATAACAATGTTATGAATCCCCCTATGTTTTGTATTCATTATCTTTAACTAAGACTTATTTTTACATATTTTTTCAAAATATCATACTGACTTTTTAAAGTGCCACTATTTTAATAATACATCTGAACCATTAATTTCAATGGTAATACAATCACGACTTACTCATAAATTCGTCGTTACGAAATAAACGGGCATATGTTTCAATTATAAGATTATAAATATCATTTATTTGTTGTGATTATTGATAACTGCCTGAGTTGTAGTTACTTGTTTCACTTAAAATAAATAGCAATATTAGATTGTATTTACATTTATTTATACATTTGTCTAATCACGAAATCAGTCATATATTAACTTTTGTATTTAAAACATGGCATAATGTTATTTTTTTGCCTTTTATCTTATTATAAAAATCTCCATTTTTTATTAAAAAAATTTGAAATTCCGCAAAACAAAAAATAAAATTTTTTCCCGCATCTTGGTTCTTTTTTAAAAATTTAAACTTTTTGGGTTTTTCAATAACCCCCAAAATTTTAACCCCTTCTTAAGTGGGCCCCCTTTTTTCCAAATTTATATTTTGGGTTTTTTTAAAAATAAAATCTCTTATCTTTTATTTCAGAAAAAAAAAAAAAATATTTGCCCAATGGGGTGAAAAAAATACAAAAAAAGTTTAAATTTTTTTAAACGTTTTTTAAATTAATTTTTTAGCATTTTTTTTTTGATTCTTTTATTTAAATTTCCAAAAGATGCCAAAATTGGGGGAAACAAAAAATCCCAAAACCAAAGGAAAAAAGAATTTGTTGAAATTTTTCGTGAAAAAAAAAATCAAAAAAAAATTTAAAAAATATTTAAAAATTTTTCACTTATTCTGAAATTTTAAAATTTTTGATTTTTTAAACCCGATAAATAAAGTAATTTCCCCCAAAATTTTAATTTTTTAATGTTACATTTTTGGGTGAAAACAAATTTTTTTTGTTTTGTTTATGTTTTCCCCTTTTTTTACCTTTTTTTTAACCCCCGTTATAAAATAAACCTATGGGTTTTTGGGTTAACAATTTTTAAAAAAAATTCATCCCGAAATAAAAAAAATTAAACCCCCAGTAAAATAATGTTAACCCCCTCCCGGGAACCCGTTTTTTTACCCAAAAAGGGGTTAAAATTTTTACTGTTACCCCCCCAAAACCCAAAAGTGTTAAATTTTTTTTTATTACCCCCCAACAAAAACTTTTTGTTTTTATCTTTAAATATTAAACAACCCCAATTTAAAAACATTAAAAGAAATAGAATAACAAAACCCGTCCTTATTCCCAAATTTTATGTACCTTTTTTGAGAAGCTTTTTTTTTTTTTATTCTTTGAGCAAGTGATGATATCTACCAGTCATAAACATACAATAAGCTGTGTTTTACTTAGAAAAAAAAAACATTAATCCATTTATAACGTTATGATCTGTGAAATCTGATCTTTCTGTATTCAGAATATTCTTCGCATGGTTTTTGACAAAGTGCATTTACAAAATAACGATGATATCTTACAGATGTCTGTCTTCCAACTCTATCTGTAACGATCACTTGTTAAACTTGTTTAATAATCCTTAGTTGCATGCTTTAATCGTCTGCATGTTCCAATTTGACACAAAATTATTCACATAACAATAACTTCCGTTGGAAACGGATGTTTACTTTTTGACTATTCAACAAAAAGATATATTATATGCGAAAAAGAACTCTACGGTGCAAAGAACTAAATTTTATGAGAGTCATAGTTACTTTGGTGATGCTCTAGGCCCTATCGTCGAAAATAAGAATGAATCGAGAGAAAAATGGCGACCATTTCATTTCATTGTATTTAGGAAATAGACCACGTGACCAGATTTTATACTGTTAAAAATTACTGTTACCTATGTAACAGTACGAAATTCTTAGTAAGAATAACTCCCAGAGGCCTATGGGAAATTAACATTACGAAAAAAGTGAGGGGTAATAATTCAAGATACTGTGATTTTCATGAAAATGAAAAAATCTAAATCAACAATTGAAACTTGTCTGTAACGAGCTTTGTGAACATATGATGTGAATTGTGCGAGTTCATTTTAAAAAAAATATAAAACCCCGTATTGTTATTTGTTTCGTACGAATATTTACATAGTAAAAAGAGTTAATAGCCATTTATCCTTTGCATCAGTGTTGAATGTTAATTTCCATTAAAGGGACTCAAGGAAGTAAACTATTTATTTTGTAATCTTTTCGAGTTCACTTGTTTAAAATTTATTTAGAGGAAAGATAAAACTCACAGAAACATTTTTATAAATAACTTTGGGACTAAAACTCAAAGATTATATTGTGGTCTCGCCTTGGGATGTAGAAAGTAGCCAGGTAACGTATTGGAAAGCTATTGGCACACTGGCAATAGCTTTTGCAGAAGCGGTAGGTCTATCGCAGCGGCGGTGGAGTATTCGTCGCAGAAGCGGTGGATAAAACATGGCCGTTTGCTGTTGTCGGTAGGTATTTGACTGAATTTTATTTTATGTTCTATTGTTTTACTGAAAACATTAAGTGAGACTGGAGCCCACATATGTACTCTTTCAAGTTATTGCACACAAACGGTGCAATTTATTGTCGTTTATGTAAACACTTCTGTACAATTTGGCGAGCGGACGCCACTTTTGCCTAATTTTGGTTTAGACACATAAAGATTTGTGCAAAACGACCCCTTAATAGAGCTATGGCCAGCGTGCTATTTTGTCATGAAAAGAAAGGGGAATGGTGTTACTTATATCTCCAAAAACTATTGCTTCAACACATCTTCTGACTACAAAATAATAATAAAAATAATAATAATAATAATAATAATAATAATAATAATAAAAGTAAATAAATACATAAAAGCAAATAAATAGATAAAAGCAAAAACAAAATAGAGCATTGTTTCTTTTGGCCAGATTATAAAAATGTCTAAAGCTAGAAGTATATATCTGACAATGTAAATAATGTTACAAAATTGGAATCTTTTGAAAAAATAAATTTTATCAATGTTTCGGTTAGTACAAAGAGATTTTATTATACGCATTGATACAATCAGATTGCACGGATGTGAAGACATTAATGGTTCTATACTAGTGAAAAAGTCTTTTCACTTTTACACTTTCGGTTCCAGCAGGTTAAAAGCGGACGGTAGATTGATGTCGCTGTTTAATGTTGGTAAATATATAGAAATAAAAAAATTAGAAAAATGAAGTTTCATATTAACTTTTTTAACATGACAATTTACAGACAGCTATATAAATGTTCAAGGAATAACTTAACAATTTTTGCAACTACTTCACTGAAATAAAATGTCAATATGGTTCAATTGAGAGTACACACACACAATGCCCCCCCCCCCCCCCCCCCCCCCCAAAAAAAAAAACAACAAAAAACAAAACCAAAACAAAACAAAACAACAAAAAACAAGACAACAACAATATCTAACTTACAAGCAGCATGGCAAAAGTAAAATCTTAATAACAGGCCATTTCTGTGCTAACTTGCTAAACGCAAAGTGTTCCATGAATATCACTACCAACAACTCTTTTTACTAATTTTTCTTATTAAGACCAATATTTATCAAATGCTTCCCAATTAAATTGTACCTTCTTTTCAGTGTTATAGTAAAGATAAGTGTTCTCTTAAAGTAAAGTATACTAAGGGGTATATTTTTGTATCAGCGTGTCTTTATGTATCGTTTTTTGCAATTTGTAAAAGAAAATTTTAAGTAATGTCATAATTATTATTATTGTATGTATTAGTCCAAAAAGAATTTCATCTCTTGATCAGTTATATGTGGGCATTTATGTTTTAAGTTTTTTTAGACTGCCAAAATTGCTTTATATGTTAACATTCGTAAAACAGATGTACGATAGCTTCATCTGCCATTTCAAAAACCTTTTATCAACCTTGATGTCAATTGTAGTCAAGAAAATGTTTGCTGCTAAATTTCTATGAGTAAGCTTCAAACGGAAATATTGGGAGATTTGTGTCAGCTGTTCCCCCCGCTGATTTGTATATATACTGTAAAAATAAATTAACGTATATCATATAAATCTGTAGATACATTGGCAGATCTATAAAATGCAAAACATTTATGTTACAATACAGCTAATTGTAAAAGTAAAAGTTTACACGGCTTGTAAAAGGAATTTAAGAACTAACATATACGCAATCGAATGTACAAATAAATGGGCTTTGTTCATATCTAAATGTAACAAATAAGATAAAATGAAATAAAGACGATCATGGAAAATTTATTGCTCATTTTTATTTATTTATTGACCATACATGAAATTTCCCGAGAAGGGACATAATTTGGATCCTTTTAAATATATGGTCTCATAATACTAGTATATGTTAAATGTAAATTCTAAACATGCAAGAAAATGTTAAGGTTATGATGAATATTCATCCTGATCTATGATGATTACATGAAGTATATAAAACTGATATCGGTTCAGATAAAAATATATCATTAAACTATGCACAATAAATCATTTTTAATTGGTAAAATGTTTGGATAATGTCCTGTTTTATTTCGTACATATATCTTTCATCAGATAAGACATAGATGTTTTGAAAGTTATTCATAGTTAATCAGTCGTCTTTAACTAAACAGTACATGTATAGAGTTATGCAGAATATCATCAGCCAGTCCACTATTATATACCATCCAAGGAAGTCTCCAAAAAAACATTCTGTCCATATGAAATGCGTACCTAAAATAGATTGATCTAATTATATGTTATGTAATTATTTTGATTCAACTATTATGATACAATTTATTTGAGATTTTTTTTATTATTAGCTCAGCTATATTAATAAGGAACATATCTCTGTTTACAAGAAAGAATTAAAGTAACTGAATGATAAGCAGTCACACTGCTGCACGTGTCGTAATTTGAATAACTTAAAACTATAATGACCCTCAAACCTTACTAGGGAATGTTATATTACATACAGAGGACATGATCAAATAACCACAAGGTGTTAGAAAAACATCCCCATTTCGTTTACAACAAAGCAAGGGCCAAACTAATGGAACTGGTGAATTTAAAATAAAACAAAGAACGCAATTAATTTCATGCTTTCCAGTGTTTTACTGTTATACATCAGATGATTGTATTCTGATAAACCACAAGTGAAATTTATAAGATATAATTTCACTGTAGCATAACTATATCTGAATGCGGGTGAAAATAATATCATAACTAAATGGAATAACAGGCAAAAATAAATGCCGTCATGCGTAAATTTTGCTTATACAGAAAATGAAAGTCGATGTCACCATAAATCATTTTAAAATGTAACGACATTAGAGAAATTTAACAGAACTATATTTCAAAATTGATGATGTGACGCCATGATGTGATGACATCATAAAGGAGAATGCGCGACGTTACTCGGTAAAATCATTGAACAATACTTAGAAGCATCACTTATAAAGCATGTAATTAAAAGAAAATTTATTTGTTTTGCATATTAGATTGATATATATTTCATTCGTGAACACCAGCTATTCTATTGTCACTCGTGGCTATGCCACTCGTGAAAATTACGCATCTGGTGTTCACTCAGTGAAATATATTTCAATCTAACATGCAAAACAAAACATATCGTGTATGTAGAACAACGACATACCAAAACCCGTCACTATAACTGAAGCCAGTATTAGAACCAAGAAAAGATATTTACGATAACGACATTTCACATTTCGCCAAAGAGTTATTGCAATAATGAAATCAGATGCTCCTTTAAGCATTTGAGAAATGACACAACCGTTCCATGTGCTTGTGAAAGGACCAGAAAATAAACCTGTGGTAAAAAAGAATACACAATAGGATAGTGGAACACACATAAAAGTAACAACATAAACCGATGTCCTATCACACTTTTAATGTAATGTTCATTTCAATAAGTCAAAGTTTGAGGAGGCAGATATCACGAAGGCAGATAAATATGTTTGCATAACAAAATAACTGTGTATGCGAATTAAAGTTCTGAGGATTCTGTGTAAAGTTTCTGGTTAATTAATTTAGATAAGCTATTCTATACGGTCTAATCATTTATATTAAAAAGAAATGAAAAGATATTTCCTAAAGATTACTAGATTTTTCATCTATTATTAACAATAACGTCATATTCTTACCTAAAAGAACTCTTGCAATAGCAACTAAGATTAAATGCAACATACAAACTGAAAACATAAAAAAGTGACTTTGTAGTAATAACAGCATGTATCTTTAAGAGAACAAAACCTCTGATACCCCCTACGATTCAATTGTGCAGCTAAGAACTATATTAATGGATATCTTGCGATGTTTTTAGTTTTTGTTTCAAATACTGTCTATTACTCTGAGAATTATAGTTTAACCATGATAGTGAAAATTAAGACATTTTAGATGTTGAGTCAAACAGGATAGAGTTTCTGCTCAGATACAACTTGACGTTGGTAAATCATATTGTATTATTAGCCAGCCCGCAATGCTAAATCGGTTAGAACGCGAGACTTTATGGGTCCGATTCCAAGACTGGCCAACTAAAATTACTTAATTAGTCTTTCGGATGAGACTTCCGAGTATGAGTGATTAATTACTTGGCACGTTGAAGAACCAGTAGAAGCTTTTGGAATGTGGGCATCTTTCTGTATCTGTATCCTTCACTATCCTCTAAAATATATAATGACTAATACTCTACTTGAGGACCCATCTATATGGACAACCGGTGGCAAGTACAAATAATCTCAAATACACACACGTGACAAAACATTCGTTTGGCTGCATGACCCTGTGATTAGTCTATCGGACTAGTCATCTAAGGATTGCTTTCCGCATTAGTTCAAACCCCGTCACGGACAAGTCGTTGTTTCCGCGAGCAAGAAACTTTACACATGTTGCTTAGTACTGACTGATTACAGGACTTGAGGGGGTTTCAATAAGCTTATACCTTCTAATTTTTGGAGGGAGTTTGCATCGCACCAACACATTCTTCGAACTAAAATGAATTAGAACTAAATTTTTCTTTCAGAAGAGCACCAATAAATGTTATATTATATACACCATTAACGAATACACTTATATAAATTTGAAAAAAGTTAAAATTCTCGCTTCTTGTGCTATGAACAACAAAGACACAGTAAATAAAATAAAAATACAGAACATAAATATTTTAAACAAAACAAATGCGAAATTTCACCACATGAACAGTTACTTTTACAGCATAAATATAAGATTATACAATATAAGTATGCTTTATATCACATAAAAATATTTTTAGAATTTTGCAACGTTCCACACACCATAGATTACGTGGTACTTATATTATGTACCTTTCTATCAATATCTATTTTTTTTATTATGTAGTAACTTATTTACCTCCAAATGCCGCGGCTTTAATACACGACCGACAACAGACACATTCTGAAAAATGTAAATATAGCATAAATGTTGAAAAAGTATTTGATATATGCGTGTAACTGTCAATTCCTACGATTCAATATAACGGTCTTGGACAAATAAGTGACTCTATTTTCATTAATATTTTGATAAAATATTTACTCACATTGCACTGTAGCAACATATATAAGCTGATCACAAACTTAGCTCACGCGTAAACTGTTTATGTTGAAATGCACAAGGTAGTAGATACAGCAAACTACTATATTGCAGGCTATATGTTGTATTTGTACATCCATTTTTAATAAAGCTTTACTCTTTAATTGTAATTAATAGCCGAAGTTATTGTCATTATCTTGGTCGTATATGAAGACGTAAACGTCGTAGTCGAAATGGTCATGGTTGTAGTCTTGATCATGGGTCATGTATGTAGTCGTAGTTTGGACGAAACAATCTTACAGTTTACGCGGACTGTTACTTATATATATATATATATATATATATATATATATATATATATATATATATATATATATATATATATATATATATATATATATATAAAAATATATATATATATACGCAGTTTACTGTAAACGTAGGGTTATGCCTAAGAAATGATTAATTTTTAATTTCTTATGAATTACCTGATTTGTTATAAGAATACGTTTGTGGTCTCTGATTGATTGCTGGGCCATTATTGCTCCTGAAATAGATTGTGTATCCTTTAAGATTTACCATTTTTCACCCTCACGTTTTATAAACATTATTCATTTGCTTAGAAATTGCAAAGTCTTTTTTTATCAAACATTCGGTTTTCCGGATTTCATTTATAATAACGAACTAGAGCACTTTAGATAAATTGCAGCACTTTTGTTAATTATACGTGTACGTTTAATTTTCAACAGTGCTGATACGTGATAGATGTTTTCAAATTATTACAAAATAAACATAGGATTTGCGTGATTATACTATTTATGTGGCCATCCTAAAAACAAATGAACTGAAAACAATACCGTAATTTATCACTAATTTAGTATGCTCTGTATTCTAATCATGCACAAGTCGATGTTATATTCTTATTAAATGTGAAACAACATAAAACTTGCAATCATCTTTACATAGTTTTAAAGCAAGATTAATTTTCATACAACAAAATAAAAAAAATGTATAATTTATCATTCTACTTTGTAATAAAATTTCTGATTTAAATCCTTGCAGAACACAACATTACCTGATCACTCGGTCAGCCAAACGTCTATCTCCTGCAGCTTCAACTCTTTCTGAAATAGTTGTTAAAATCCCTTGACTTGAGAAAGATGTTTCTGCATAGTGATTATTTTGTTCTCCGTATTGTCGAGTTTTCACTGGAGCAAATGTATCAACGTAGTACTCTTTTCGACACAAGGGACATTTGAAAGTGTTTCCCTCTGAACTGAATTATTGTTAAACAATATCATTATTGCATACCAGTAGTTGAAATTATATTCAAAAATTTACATATAAGATATCATTTTTCTGAACATTATACTTATAATTATACCAACTGACAACAGAACCATAATAGTTATAGTCAATCGAAGTCGTCGGCGTAGAAGTATAACATCAACAAAAATGTATGCATATTACGAGTTTAACAAAACTTTACTAATGTATATTAAACGTTTGAAACTTATACCTATCAGAAAATACACATGTTTATATATATAATCATACACAATTACATTTAGTTGGTTATTTGTGTGTTTTTGTTCAATTAAAGACGTTATAACTTAAATTATACCATTTGATCAAGTCTTGAAGACATGGTTCACATATCATGTGAATACATGGAAGGAACCTGGTTCGTATTTCGCGTTCACGACAAACAGGGCACAACTCCTTGTCGGTTTCTACATCGTTAGGGACAGGCAACTGAATTCTGATCTCCGAACTCATTTTATATCCGAGACAAAATTGACATCGACGTTGAAATGGGAATTTAAAAATTCTGGAAACCAAACGTAGTTTCTTCACAGTCTTATTTATAACAACTTGTAAACGATTACATCGGGTCAATGTGATAAGTACATGTTTGTGCATACCAAAACGGTAACCTAAATATTCATATTGTTTATGTACGTGCTATCAAAAATCAAAATAATTTCCAACTGGCTTATTTACTTAAGTACTGGTCGAAAAACACATACATGTTTAAATAAAACTCAAATATGATCTGTGCAAAGACAATTATAGCGACAATTTATGAAATCAGAAGCATATTTAAATACAATAAGTGTGTATTGGTTATATTGTAAAAGTTATTGATTACAAAATATGAAAATGATGTATTAATAAATTTAAGTTTCATTCTTTCAAAATAACAACAAAAATAATAATAAAACATATAACGCTTACCTTCAACCAATAATCACAACCAGATGACTATGTTATGTGTTTTTTAGATCGATTGTATTGATAAGTTTTACATTTATTTGCCCAATTGATTGAAACGTACTTCCTTGTTCATATCTGCATAGTTCGGTTGTGAGATGATTTGGGTTTTCAATCAACTTTTATTGTTGTTATATCTAGATTGTATTTACAAATATGTTCATTTTGTAATTTACTATATGAATAGATACATAACGAAACAAAACACTCTTTCGGAGCAAAGAAACAAGCCTCGTGTTGGTGGTAAAGTTAAGATCAATCCACATATTCCATGATGTTTATGGTTCGTCGTGATTATTTCTATGCGGATTTCTATTTACGAAGGAGAGTCAGCATATTATGCTCAATTGTGGCGGACTAGTCTATATGATACACCAAGCGAAATATTAATTCGTTTTTACGAAATATTATTTCGTAATTACGAAATATTAATTCGTAATTAAGAAATATTATTTCGTAATAACGAAATATTATTTCGTAATTACGTAATATTAATTCGTAAAAACGAAATGTTATTTCGTAATTACGAAAAAATAATTCGTAAATACGAAATAATCTTTCGTAAAAAAGAATTAATTTTTTTCTAGTGTTTCAAAGAGTTTTGATAAAAGTTATAAATAAGGCCTTAAAACTAAGTTTCGGCATGTTAATGCAATATAAATAGTGCCTTTTGTTTTCCCCAAGCTTTTTAACTTAACACTATTGTATATTAATTAAAATAATCGCCTGTCATTGAGCCAGAGCCGTGATAGTACACGCGCTAGGAAAATTTAGTTAAAAAGGGGGTACTGTGCTTCAAATCCAAAAACGGACATTTATTTTCTGTTTCATTTTGTCGAAATTATTGAGTTTTGAAATAAATTATTATGTTTTTATGATCATACGGTGCCCATACATAAATTGTAAGGAAATATTCTAAATTGATTAGATTAGTGAAACACTTGAGCACCCCCTCGCCCCTTTAGTTTAACTAATGTTAGAGTATATGATAAAAGAAAGGAATAATATAGCAAGTTTCTGTTTTAAAGAAACATGTCATAAAAGATTAATTGCCTCAAACATTAAAACATTGTTGATAGGAACATGTATTTGACAATTGGGAAAAAGAAACCATTTTGGATAGAGAATGACTTCTCACTCAAAAAACTCTGTTCATTTAAATTTAATAACTTGAGAACCATTCGGCTTATAATCGCAAGGTTGATCAAGGCTTGTAAATGACCCATTTGTGAGATTAGTAGGTTGTTTGTCAAGCTCACAATAACCTTAAATAAGAGTTCGTAAAACTGAATTAATATTTCGTAATTACGAAATAATATTTCGTAATTACGAAATAATAATTACGAAATAACATTTCATAAAAACGAATTAATGTTTCGTAAATATGAATTAATATTTCGTAAAAACGAATTATTATTTCGTAAAAACAAATTATTATTTCGTTATTACGAAATAACATTTCGTTTTTACGAATTAATATTTCGTAATTACGAAATAATATTTCGAAATTACGAAATAATATTTCGCAAAAACGAATTAGTATGTCGTAAATACGAATTAATATTTCGTAAAAACGAATTAACATTTCGTAAAAACGAATTAATATTTCGTAAAAACGAATTAAATGCCAGGGGAAAAGTGTCAAGAATGTCACCTTAGGGGCTCCGTACGTTCGAAACCTGATGTTTTACGATACAGATATGAGTATAAAATACTTTCAAATGCCCTATGTCCACAAGAGTACTACGTTGATACGTTTGCTCCTGTAAAAATCGTAAAGATAAACAGCAAAGTAATCACACTACAAAGCATCTTCCTCAAGTCCAGGGAATATGCAGTCATTTTGCAATCATTTAAAAGACCGAGGCTGGAAGTTTTGAGAGTAGTAAAATACAGCCTCAGAATGCTACTTTACACAATTCTTCTTTCATTATATAACCATAAGTTCTAAGTCGAAAAGTGATCCAATTTACTGACCTTGTATTAACCATTCCACAAAACAAAATATAGCTGTCAAGAAATAATATTAATGACGTACGGATGAATACATCAGTTTTGAAAATAGGCCTCGCCCTCAGTAGCATATATGTATTGAAATAAAACTGAAATAGCCTCAGAAATATTATAAAAAAATACAGTAAAGCGACGTAAATCTAAAGGTGATTCTGCTTTGGAAATATATTTCCCATGAATCTAGGGTAACTATAAGAGCAGAGACAGAGACAGATTCACATTATCTGAGGCGTGCACAAGACAGAGATGGTACACAACAGGTCCAGGCGAAGTAATCCTAAGTATCAGGGACAATATTGGTCGACTAATACAAGATGATGATCCTAAAATATGTCTTGAAGGAAATTTTCCTTTCCTTCCACGATTTGAGGATATGTCAACATATTTTGCAAATGATTTCTAATGAGGCGAATGGTGCGGCCCGGCAAGGAAGCAAAAGGTCTCGTACATGTGGTTCATTCCGAACCGAGTAAAAACTAAATCACACACGCTTTTGAGTTGTTGTCGCTGTTGTCATCAGCCAGAAAAATCATACAAATAGAAATTATTGATGACCAGCTAACTATCAAAAGTGGCTTAAGAGAAGTTATACATAATAGCAAAAGCTATTGCATTATATTGGTTAAAGTGTGGTCATTAAAGCTATCTGTATTATATTGCTTCATTGACAACGCTGCCACTTAAATGTTACGAAATTTCATAATGAAAACTAAAGTGACATTAAACAAAAGAGAATGGTGTTACAATTATTTACTGATTTTCATGCTTCTGGACACCTTTAAGCTACAATCTAGAACACTGTTTCTATTTACCAGGTTTATTTCTTAGGATGTGAAATATGGGAACTGATTATGATAATAATACCTTTTAAGTTTCGGTTCATTAAATATTAGATTTATAACTACTAGTATTGCGCATTTGAAACAATAAGACTGCACAAATGTGGAGGCTGGCATGCTTCTATACTGTTGATGAAGTTTTTTCACTTTCGGTTCCATCAGGTTAAAAGCAGATGCATTCCTTTGAACGATGTCGAATGTAAAGAAGAGAATGAAGTTTCATAATAATCTTTGGTCACTTTGGCAGATCAATGATCAGGCAAAACAGTAAAATTGGTAATTATGTTAGAATATACAATATTCACTGAACGAGATTTAAAAGGAAAATTTACACGGCTTATAAACGGAATTTTTGAAACTCTTACATAAACACGCCCTGATGACGCATTTAAATATTTTAAATAGAGATGCTTTGTTCAAATTTTATTGGCGACAAAATAACATACAATAAGAAAAGACTATCACATACAACTTATTATGCTTTTTTGTATTTTTGAACATACATGCAACTTTAACGCTACTCCCTGATGAGTGAGGTATTTTGGATCCTAACCTATTTTAATAAATATCTTACAATATTGGTAAGTGTTAAAAGTAAAAATTCCAAACATGCAAGAACATGTAGATGCTATGATGAATATTCATAATAAGTTACACAGAATCATTCAACTAGAGATGAAGTTTAACTGAGCAATACAATTTCCTGATACATCGTAGGTTATATAAAACTTTCAATGGAATAAATGATTTGGTAAAGCTAATCTATATTCAGTTCAGATAAACACAATGTTTTAGATATATCATTAAAAAGTTCAAACAAAATCACTTCTTAATAAGTACAATACATAGATAATGTCTTGTTTCTTTCGTACCATATTTTAAGCATGTAAGACAGAAATGTTTTGTTATTCACACATAATTCGTCTTAATAGTAGACACTAGACATTCTATTTTATTGCAAATAGGCTTTAAAGCCCATAAGGGTACATGTATGCAAAATAACTAACAGTGCTTGACATCTACATATATAAACAATATCAACAATCTTAAAAGATTTGGTGATCAATTTTGGTTTATAAAGAACAACACATACATGTACCAAAAACTGCAAAATATCATCAACCAGTCCACTATCGTATACCAGGCCATAATTATTCGAATAAAATCTGTCCATATTAAATACGAACCTAAAAAAGATAAATCGAATTATATGTTATATGATTATTTTGACTCTGCATATTTTCATAATTCAACACTTTGCTCAGCTACATAGTATTTAACAAATTTCTTTTCATAAACAAAGATGATATATCGTTATTAAATTAATGAAAAACTATAACGACTTTCAAACGTTAATGGGTATTATTATATTGCTTATTAAGGAAATAATAACACCTCCCCATTCCCTTCCCCATTTCCCCTTTCATTAAAATGAAAGGATCAAACAACTGAACTCGTGTATTTAAAACTTAAAAAAGAACACAAGATAGAACACTGACATACATGTACCAAAACCCATCACTATAACTGAAGCCAGTATCAGAACCCAAAAAAGATATTTACGATAACGACATGTCACATCTCGCCGAAGTGTTATTGCAATAATTATATCTGTTAGGCCTTTAAGCGTATGAAAAATGCCAACACCTTTCCAATGGTCCCAGGCGGAAATAATTATTAGAATCAAACCTGTCGTAGAAAAAACACAACAATAGACCATAACATAGAAGAACACACAAAGATTACAACATAAACCGATGTCCTGCCACACGTTTAATGTAATGTACATATCACTTAATCAAAGTTTGAGAAGACATGTATCACGGAAGCGTTTTTGTTTGCTTGCATAACATGATTACTGTGTTTGCAAATTACTAAATAACTAAAGGCACAATGTCGTTATTAGATTAAAGCGTTAACACATTAACTCTTTCAAATTAAATTGATTACTGTTTTATAGATAATCTTTACATAATTTAGTTTATTTTAAATTTCTAAAATTTGTTCTTTTTAGGTTACTTGATTATTCAACCAGTAACATCATATACGTTACCTGCAAAAAGTCTTACAATTGCCACTAAGTTTAAATGCAACATAAGAACTGAAAACATAATTAAATGTTACATTCTAGCATTAAAACATGTATCAATTGAAATAGACCAAAACCTAACGATTCTATTATACAGCTGGGAACTACATAAACATTTTTTTTACATGTTACATATTTAAACATTTTAAAATTTTCAAATACTGGCTAGTGGTGAGCCCATATGACTAGTAATCTAAGGATCGCTTACCGCGTGCGTTGAAACTCCGTCAGGGGCAATAGCAAGAAACTTGACACTCATTGCTTAGTATTGGCTGGTTCAAGGAAAGCATTTCAATCGTTTCAATCAGCTTATAGCTTCTAATATTTTACTTGGGATTTATGTTACAACAACACAAAAACAATTAAACTAAATCAAATTACAACAAACTATTTTTTCTTTTAAAAGGGCAGCAATAGATGCAATGATATAAACCATAAACAAATACACTTATATAATGTGAAAATAGTTAAACTTTACTCTGTTCAACAAAATTAAATATTTACACCTATCCGTTAATGACACTCATGGTGTAGAAATAAATAATAATAATAATCGTCATTCATGCTTCAACATCATTATAGTGTTTGCTTTCATGATTATTTCATTTGATACTGATTGTGTCATTAAAATGATACTGGTTATATAATTTTCCATTCTATATATATTTTATTGATTATGTTAATAATTGTTTTACCTCCAAATGCCATTGTTTTTATACACGATCGACAACAGACACATTCTGTAAAACGTAAATACCATAAATATTTGATAAATGTGTGTAGCTAACAATGTCCGTTTTAATTAAACTGACTTAGGAACGAAAATGAGTATTGATTCAAATATTAAGAAATATTAAAGTCTCTTTCATTTATATTTTCATGAAATATTTACCCGCATTGCACTGTTGCATCATCATTTTTATTATTATTATTTATTCTTCTTCTTCTTCTTCTGCTTCTTCTTCCTCTTATTATTATTATTATTATTATTATTATTACTATTATTATTATTATGAAATCTTTACTTATATATATATATATATATATATATATATATATATATATATATATATATATATATATATATATATATATATATATATATATATATAAAGGGTTAATACAACCGAAAATTACTTGCAATCATATTCAGGACCATAACAAAAGGCTATTGTTCGATAACGAAATAGCTATTTTGTCTGCAGTCTTAATATCATGTAGGGATGTTAGTGATGAAAACCAAATAACACCTATTGTGGTATTGATGGTCTTACTAATAAATATAAATTATGAAGATTTTTTCAAAGTCGTGGTAATAGTCGTTATCGTACTGCTCATGGTTGTAGAAGATGTCATTGTCAAGATCGTGGTGGTGGTCGTAGACATAAAATCAAATGCTTTGTCTCAGTTTTGGTTGTAGTCTTATATCAACTTTGGTCAAATAAAACATAAAGTTGGTTGTTGTTAATGTAAAAATAGTTCTTCTCGTAGTCATATAATTGTAAGAGGTCGTAATCCTTTTTAGAAAAAGTTGTAATCTTCATTGTTGTTTTAACATTTTTCATTTATCTGTTTATGATTTCGGTCCGGATTTTTTGGCCTTGAATATAGTCGTAGTCTGAAGGAAACACTGTCGGTTATTCTACAAGAATACTTCAAATGCATATACGATTTAACGACAAGATGCATTTAGAGTGATTTGTATACTGTGTTACGAACAACGTTTAAAGTGTACGCGTATTGTAACAGATATAACCTTTTGCCTATTTAGCGGTATACGGTGCAACATTAAAGGTCTCTAAAGCTGTATACTGTGTTACGGTCAACGTTAAAAGTTAATACGTATTGTAACCTATCTGCGCAGTAGGCTGTTTACGGGTCAGAAAATGTACAGTGCTAAACAGCTTATGCCTAGTGTATCATACATACGGATTAAGCTGTAAACGGTGCACTATTTAAGGTCTGTAAAGCTATATTCAGTGTTACGATCTACGTTAAAAGTTTGTGTGTATTGTAGAAATGGTCATAGATTTAAAAGAGTAGGTCAAAGTCGAGTTGATCGTGGTAGTCGTACAAATTAAAAACGTGGGTTCAGTGTTGGTCGTAGTCTCATTTAGTCATGGAAATCATAATATTGGCTGTCGTGTTAGTAGAAAGAGTTCGTCTAGCAGGCATGACACTTTTAAAGGTCATAATTATATTTAGTGACACTACATGCTCAGTTAGCTGTAACGGTGCAAAATAATTTGTGATTTATTCATTAAAATTATTTATTTTCAATCACATATTAATTACCTGATTCGTTATTGTAAAAGACATGTGTTTGCGGTCTCTGGTTGATTCTTGAGTCTCTGAAATAGGTTGTGTATCTTTTCAAAATTTTATCCATTTTTACCCAGACGTGTTATATTTCTTTTTGCTTACAAATTGCATAGTTTTGATATCAATGCCTGGCCCCTTGTTCACAAAGAAAAGATCAGGATCATTGTTTTATAAAACTTAAATTGATCATATTGTGCAAGAATTGAATGGTACATATTCAAAATGTAAAAGAAATGCTGATTTGTAAAGAAAAAACATATTTTTGGATAAAATCAATGAATAACAAAACAAATACAAAAATAATCTAATAAAAATAAAGATCAACTTTAGGATCAAGATCAATATTTGGATCAACTGTAAAATGTTTATTTCTTGTAAAATAACAATAAATTTTTTGTTAAATTTCAAGTCAAGTTTTATAAAGTTAATATTTAATATTTAATATATTATAATAAGGAAAATCATTGGATAATATTTGAGTTTATATTCAACTGATCTTGATCCTGATCCTTAAATCTTAAAGACGTGGCCTCGGTGTCCGCAAATTTATTTACGTTCCGAAACATAAAACTTAAGATAATTACGACACGTTTTTATTTTTGTCAATTATACATGTACTTACAATGTTAAACAGTGCAGTGCGAAAGATGTTTTTTAAATGTTAACATAATCAAAATAGGAGATACGAGTTCATACCGTTTTGTGGTCATCCTAAAAACAAAATGAACTGAAAAAACAACATAATACATTACTTATTCAAATAAGTAATACAAAACACATGTAAAACATAACTGTACCTGATCACTCGGTAACCCAACTCCCTATCTTCTGTGCTTTGAACTCTTTCTGAAATAGTTGGTAAATTCCCTTGACTTGAGAAAGATGTTTCCGCAGTTTGTCTGTATTGTCGACTTCCCACATGAGCAAATGCATCAGAGGGGTACACTTTTCGACATATGGGACATTTGAAAGTATTTTCCTCCGAGCTGCATTATTGTTAAAGAATATACCATTACATATATAAACATTTTCATATCAAAGCATTTTTAATAAGATGTTTGTGACGACTTTGTAAGATTTGTTCGTATATCATCACCCGTCACCTTATGCGTGTTATGATATTTATTTATTTATTAAGTCTATGGTTTATAAATATAAACAAATATATATTTTGCTAGTTTCATGTTAAAAGGAAAAATACCTTATTTAAGCATTTATATATTAAGATAATGAATAAATTGTATCCATTAGCTGAAAAATTAAACAACTTTTGGTGATATAGTTACTAAAAATCTTTGCTGTCTACGTAAAGGGTTATAGTTGGATTTATAAATCTGTTATTTGTAAAAAATTGTTTTGTCATCATGAATATTGCTTTACGCCTAGCAAGAAATTATAGTCAAAATTATCAACGTCCTCAAACTCCTTAACCTCTGATTTTCCAGATTCAGTATAGATCATCGACGGTAAACGAAACCTGATTATAACCATGGCAATTGATAACAGGCCAAGTTCATTCTGATAATACCAGTATAACACAATAACATAGGAACATTTTTGCCCTTGTATTAAGTCTAACTTTGAAATGAATGTATATGATGACAATAAAATAGGCCCTACCGAGTTTTTGGTCGAGGGTGTAGTGGCCGTTATCACATTCGTTTAACTAGAGAACGTGTTCCTTGTTGAATTTAATTTAGAATTCATGGGCGTTGTTATAGTCTAAATCTTAGTATTGGGCGTAAAAGTATACCATATTACTAAATAGCATCAACAAAATTGCAAATTACGAATTAAACAAAACATAGGTAATGCATATCAAACATTTGATATTAACTTTAACCTATCGGAAAAAAATACATGGATATTCATATTATATAAAACATTTCATATTTGTTAGTAAATTAAATGATAATACTGTTAATAATAGTGTATTCGTTCAGTTAAGGCAGTAATGAATTCATACCTTGTGATCAATTTCTGCAGACATGGATCACATATCACGTGAATACATGGAAGAAACCTGGGTGGTATTCCACTTTCAAGACAAACAGGGCAAGACGCTTTGTTGTTGGTGGCGTCGTTAGGACTTGGCAAATGAGTATGAAGCGCACTGTTCTCCAAACGCATTTTTTACAAATTTGACAGAAATTTTGAAAGGGATATTTAAAATTGCTGAAAATCAAACGAAATTGCTTTACTTTCTTTTAAACCACATCAATTCTAAACGCTTAAGTAAGTTCGGTGTGCTTAAAAAAGATAAGCTTACAAAAGGTAACGTAAAAACATTCTATATTATAATCGTTTATTTACTTTCTATCAAAAATCAAACTGCTTTCCAAGTGGCTTCTAAACACTGAAATGGAATCATAGATTGACATTTTAGGCATCTTATAACGATATTTAAACTCTAATTGTATAATATTATATTGCCAGTCAATGTGCGAGACACAAGCAAGACAACAAACCCCAAAAATATATATACTTCAAATACAAAGTTTATGTCGTTCGAACATTACAACACTTTTTGTAACTCTGGAAACCACGTTTAAGGTAACAGTTATTATATGCATTTTAAAGTTGGTATATTTTCTTCAAGTCTTGATTTTTCTTTAAAAATAACACAATAAAAATGATAGGACCCACTAAGGTCATTCCCAGAATTTTTTTAAACTAACTTCAAATGGCAGGATAAAGAACAGAACAAAACAGGAAGAATTTAATCAAGATATGCCAGGGCTGCTGAAAGGTGTAGAAAATTTCACAATAGTCATTCAATGACTTTCAACATTTTTTTTCAAGATTAAAAAAAAACAACCAAAAAACTTTCACTAATTTAAAATAAAATAGTACAGTACAATGCAATTGTATGGCTACTGTTAATGTGTTCATAAAGGGAAGTTGAAGGTGTCACATTTAGTACACAAATTGGGATGCAAAATAATAAAGTATCCAATCAACACAGCCATTTTACCTTCCCTATTTTATTATATCACAAAATATAGTAACTTGCTTAGATCTGCCAGGTGGTATAACTTACAAAATATCTATTCTTCAACTACCACTTGAAAAATGTTGATAAAAAATTAAGACTTTATTAATAAGACCTCTACGTCTAGTCTAATGAATATATAATTATAATTTTCTAAATGTTTTGTATGACCAGTAAAATTTAATGGCAAATTCAAAAATAGAAATAAAAATATATGTTGACGTATTGCATTTCTTGTAAAATGGCAGTTTCTATGGTAACCGTATATCTCAAAACTGTCAAAATAGCCAAACAAATAGAAAATGTATAAGATTAATACACAGAGCAAACATTGTTTTATGCAAAGATAACCTTATCCAATGATTCTGTATTTAACAAATGATAATTTGAAAAATGAGTTTTCCCCAGCAGGCACTCAACGTTGTTTATTATACGGATATATTACCAATGTATATTCAATGTTGATTAGTCAACGTTGTTTATGGTCGAAGTTTTATTTTTAGTTAAATCATTATCTAAACCTTTACACCACTTATTCTGTGTAATTATTTCTTTATTTAACTGGTCTGTAAGTGATTTTTGTCAGGAAAACTACGTAACCATTTTTATTGCGAATATCTAGAGTTGGAAATAATTTTGCGCTTTCCGTTAATGCTTTTAATATAAATATGTTTTATATTTATTGACTTGTTCGTTATATTGATTAAAACACTGCTTTTAAATAACGCTGATCAGGGGAAATAATTGTTGCGGATACTTTGGTGTCCATGATTATCGTTCTTGCAAATGGTGGCGCTGTTTTGAAATTTGAACAGATTCAGAAGACGATGATTTATTTGGATTTCTAAGGTATAACCGTAATGTTTTATTTTAGTTTGCAGATAATTTTTCATTTTATAATTACTGATTCTTAAAATTCTACTTTGATTTACTATATGAAAGAAATTAGAGATGTAAACACATGATTGAGTTGATTTGACACGTTTTCGCGACCTAATTGGTAGGCCTTACGCTTACGCTAAGTTATTGATGCCGAGGTTACAAGTCTTGTCTTTTTTAAGCTTATTTTTCATATTGTTAAACTTTATTTGTGGTGCTATATACCAATTAAAATTTGATCAGTTATAAGATTGTAACCTATAAAGTGTAGTTCGGCCCACATAATTTACGTCCCAATACGATTCGTCTATCTAGCTGCATTAATATTTAAGTGTTAGTAATATAGAGTGTTAATTGGTCTGAAAAATACATTGTGTTCATTGCATTATCAAAAAATATTGATTCAAATTGATTGATTGATGTTAAATATTAACAAAGTTGAGTTTTAAACTTTTAAGTTTAATTGTCGCGAATTTATAGGGAATAAGAAATCTATTTTACATTCCAAATCCTTCAACTGGCTGAAATGAAGAGTTTTTGAGCGATAGTCTGTATACCATTTGCATTCAACACGGAAAGAAATGTCAGGTTTGTTAAATTGTATTTCATATATTTAATATATATATTTATTTACAAAGTATAAATATTTCAACTACTGGATATTAATCTTGTCGTAATAACATATTATTTTCAGAATACTTCTGCAACATTAATATAAAATTAACATATTTGTTGTTTTCGGGATGCTGCATAAAATGGTCTTAGCTAGAGCCTAGAATATTTATTTGAAAAAATGCTGCCAGTAACTGATGGGGAGCAGTTTGCTTACCAATCACAGGTGAGACGTTTAAATAGCTTCTTTTTTTATAAATATTTTGATGTTTTATGTACATAATTTGCTGTCAATATGAAACTTCAGCTATATCTCAAATTCTATGCTGTTTATTATGTAAATCGTAGAGATAAGCATTTTAAGATAAAAAACAAATCACTAGGTTGATTGATTATATATATAAATTTAGATTGACAAAGTCACTTTTAACTACTAACTTCTTATTTTTTTATTTGCAGAAGCAGTAAGTGACAGCCAAAGAAGTATTCAAACGCCATCATGAAACACTTGAGACATACCCAGGAAGATCTAGAAAAAGAAGTAGATTGGAACAGATTGTAGCTTAATTGTTGAACTAAAATGACTTCTTAAATCGTTTGAGTTTATGCTGCACTTGAACTGTATTTTTGAAATAAAATATCTGAAGTATCTAAAATTGTCTTGATTCTTTTTTTAATAACTATTTTACTCTGCTTAATATCTTAAAATTAAAGTATGGTGGGTTTTCAACGTTACTTCATCTTGTGCCAACGTTGACGCTGCAACGTTGTATCAACGTTAAAATTTCAACGTTGTTTAAACTTTCAAATCCGAATATAAATCCAACGTTATTTCAACGTTGAAATCTGACCATAATTCAACGTTGTTTTAACGTTGGTGTGCCTGCTGGGTCCATGCTTTTTAAATGAACAAAAAATGAAAAAAATAAACATGAATTCTGTGAATAATTAAAGATATTGAAAAATTTCTTTCATAGGATTTTCTAAATTTTTTGTATGTTGTGTAAAATTTAATAAGGAATTCAACAATAAAAAGAATAAAATATATGTTGACGTGTTGGAGTTTTTGAAAAATGGTAGTTTCCATGGTAACAGTATATCTCAAAATTATCAAAATAACCAAGCTGTGTTATAAAAATGTATAAGACAGATAATTACAAACACAATAAGCATAATTTTATGCAAAACTTGCTTTATCTAAGGGTTTTGTATACAACAAACGATAATCTGAACATATTTCTTTAAAAATAATGAGTTTTTCATGCTTCTTAACTGAACAAAAATGAGAAAAATAAACATGAATTCTGTAAATAATTGAAGCTATCAAAAATTTCTTTCATAGAATTTTCTACATTTTTAATATATCAAGTAAAATTTTATGGCGGATTCAAAAATAGAAATAAAAATATACGTTGACGTATTAGTTGTTTTGTAAACGGACAGTTTCCATGGTTACCGCATATGCCAATAGTCAAAATTACCACGCTTTCTTGAGAAATATCAGTGTTATACTAAATGCTGTCATATATACAACAAAAACATGTAATATAATTTACTATTTCTTTTGATGTTATATGAAGTAAATGATACTGAATATGTTTTAAAACAAGATATATAAGGCCATATTATTTCTTCACTCGACTAACATACCCGAACAGTAAGCAAGTATTCAGAAATTTACAAAGAAAATAATGAAAATTGGAAAATTTCTTAGTCTAAGATATTATTTTTGTTATTTATTCATCATTTTTAAAATATATCATTTTAAACTTCTTTGCCCACTTGTCTGCTAGTTATCAAGTGGCGACGCACTTTCGTCACTATACCACAAGTGGGTGGGGTAACGCGCGAAGAATCATCGTCAATGATGACGTACTAATGCTAGGGGAAATCCTTAATCTGATGTTGTCTAAACGACCTCTTATTCTTTTGAACCGATCTCCTCCCGAACATTTAGAAATAATTATTCTGTATTATTTACTCATTATTTGCTTATAGCCGAAATTTAAACAGTAATCCGAGGACTATTCAACTTGACCTTCTTTTTGAAGAGTAATTATCGTGATTATCTTTCTTGGAAGCGCATAACGATGCGCACAAAAAACTACCGAAAACGTCTTTAAGTGGTATTTGACATTAATAGTTATTAAATACATATGACAGCCATCAAACTAATATGTTCGACAGATGTCAAACTGGCCTCCGGCATCTGATAGGTCATGCTTCAAGTTCTCTACGTAGGTTTGTACGACAGCATGACTGATAATCCGAGGCGCAGTGGTCTGGATCATCTGCCGCAAACCACTATGTGTTTCATGCACGGTCATATGAATGAGTCAATGCAAGTTTGTAGCAATCTTTATAAAATCTGAATATTATCAGTATGAAGATTATTTAAGTGAAAGTTGGACAATTTACATTGTTTCACTAAAAACTCATTTTCATATTGTTTTAGTGATAACATCTGACAATCAATTAATTGTGGCATCTCTGCATGAATTAAAGTAAATACAACACGTGACTTTATGCAATATAGTCTGACATGACATCAGCGCCGCAGAATTTAGAATGAATCCGAATAGGTTGTGATTGAAAAATGGTTGCTTTGGACTATTGCTACATAACTTACGAAATGTGTGTTATGACTTGTGTTTCACCAATAATTAGTTGGTACTGATTAAAAATTCCAGATATAGGCCTGAAATATGTATATGGAGACAATGTGACGTCATCAAATAGGTCACATGATCCATCTAGGTCTTCGTGAAGTCATTATATGAAGTCACGTTCTTGTTTCAAGACATAAGCGACCTTTTCCTATAATTAACCCAAAATACTTTTACAATGTGTCGATTATATTGTCCGCTCTACAAACCTCTTTGTACAATGTCATATAGAAAGTACTCATCTACAGAGGTAGTACCCGAAATCATTTAATAAATATATTTCCCAGGTCAAGAAAGCTATAATAAAATTATAAACTTAAGTATGAATAAACTTGTAAAAACCTTATCTATGTAACTGATGTAAACAAACCCAACTGGAGTTGTTCCGAATATATACCCAGTTCGACTACATGTGTTATTTATATTTCTATATTTACCCAAGATAAATATTTAAGGTGTGTTAATAATTTAAAACATCGTAAAATGCTATCAATGTTTAGGTGCATAAATCATCTACTGAAGAGGGAAGACAAATAAAACAACGCCTCTGTACAAAATGCAATATGAAACAAATTGAAACTAAATATCATGTTTTATTATAGTTGCCGGGTCATGTGGGGGCTGCGGTTATTGAACTACG